GGGCCCCGGCGCCGCCCGCCCGCCGGCACCGCCCGCTCGCCGCGGGAGGCGGCGGGGACGCTGCCCGGACCGAGCCTCCGCGGTATTCAGGTGCCTGCCGGCGCAGGTCCCATTTTCTCCTGCGCTTCAAAGCTGAGACTCTCGCCAGGATTCCCAGAATTAGACCCGCTTTTCAGTTTCTAAAAAACATTTCACATCATGTTATTTGTACTCTGGGTCTGCTCCCGACACAGGCAGTGGTACCTAACCCAGCTCAAGTCCCAGCGCAGGCTGCAGTTTGATTTCTGCCAAGACAGCAGACGTGCCGCCCTAATCCCTGACCCATTTCTTGTGCTGGGACATATCGTATTGTCTCTGTAGCATACAGTTTTCCTATGATGCTGCTGTCTCAAAACACTATTCATCTGCAGGGTTTCTCTTTTTTCCTCTCCACGGACTCCAGGGACCTGTCAGACTGGTTCCCCTGCAGTGCCCAGTGAGTGGCTCCTGGCCTTGGGAGACACTCCCGAGCAGACTTGAAAAGCTACCACCACCTCCTGTCTTAAATTAACCTGACAATTAATTGCTTCTGTGCTGGCAGTGTGGCCATTGACGCTGTATATTATTCCAGCATCGTGGCTGTGATAGCTAAGCGTGGTTGGGTGTCTTCTCCTTCATCTTGTCCCAATGCTTCTACTTTTTAACATCAGTTGTGCTAAAAACTCCTATGTGTTGACTTAGCACTTAATAAACTAAAGTACTTGCATGCAGTGCTGGGTGACTGTAACCACTTGAAACCCTTGGCTCCACTCACGTTGTGCTCTGACTTCAGAGCAGATCTTAACCAGCAGGCTGGTGTTCAAGCAGAGGTCGTGTCTCATCTCGACTGAGAGGCAGCGCTCTTCTGGGAGCTATAAAATAGATAAGCAACAATCATAAAGTGTCACCAGGGTTTTAGAAGATACAGTAACCACAACACGTGGCTTTAGCATGACTGTAAATTTGTCACTATCCCCTGATTTGATTCCATTACATAGTTAGAATGTAAGTTTTGTACATGGTTTTATTCCTGGCTAGCTGGAAGAAATTTCCATGTGATACAGCAGATCCATTAAAATCTTCCAGAAATAACTCTTCTCTCTGACATCAGGAATTAATATTCTTGCTGTTTCATGCTACTTTAAATACTATATAATTCAAGATGACACTAAAATTAGACAACTGATACAGCTATGGGAAATTGTTTTCACTTTTAAAATCTCTATTGTTTTATTTCTCTGTGGAGTATTGTCTCTCCTTAAGGTGCCTGACTTGTGTTCATACTGATGAGAGTTGCGTGGCTGTGGCAGCAGTATAATATCTGAGATCGTATCATTCTGACTCATGCTTTCTGAATATGTAACGATTTTAACCACTACTGGATTTTCTTAGCTTCCCTTCAGCTTTAATTGCCACATTACATTCCAGTATGAGTGTGCACAGAGGTGTCTGAGTTATAGTTTGTGGAGACAATTTGAAAACCTGTGCTGGGTAGGAAGTAGCATATTGTGTTTTTATGGGCCATACTTGCCCCTGTGGACGGAGCCAGCAGAAGACCTATACAAAATCCAATTCCATGGAGATCCAGCCTGACAAGTCAGGTAGCACTTGGCTGTTGCAGACTTCATCCTCTGCCTTCACTAAACATTACCAGAAGCAGATCAGGTAAAATTACCTCAATTCTGCTTTATGAAAGTTCGGCTTTGGGCAGCAATTCCCTAACTTTGTAACTCAGTCTACTTTCTTCACACCAAGTTTCTTCACAGTTCCCCATGCTCCTTTGTCATTAAATCCATTAAAACAAATATAAAGGAGCTGCTGAACTCTTTGCACAACTTTTGCAAAATACTGCTGCTCTGTGGATCATAGGCCAGGACACTTGCCATGGAGAACAAGGCTGCTCATCAATTAGCCTCAGTTTCTCACAGAACTGGAGATGATGAAAAAACTGGGACAAACTTGCCATGGAGAACAAGGCTGCTCATCAATTAGCCTCACAGTTTCTCACAGAACTGGAGGTGATGAAAAAACTGGGACACGCATTGTGGAAACCATCTCAGTTTTAGTCGCTTGATTTCCCTACTTAACCTGAGTTCCCAAGGCTCCGTTTATAATTGATGTACAGGAATAACTATGTCTGAAGGGCAAATTTTCTCACCTATCTTTGACATCTTATCTTAGGATAAGGTGAATCATCCTTTGGTATTTCTTCTTTTTCTCCATTAGCTGTAAAGTCAGACTGGTACTTTAGCAGTAGACAATTTTCAAATGTCTGCCTTTTTCTCCATTAGCTGTAAAGTCAGACTGGTACAGCAGTAGACAATTTTTAAATGTCTGAATTACATGAGATGAATCATTGTCCCAGTGTAGAAAAGACCTTGTCCTAAAGAAGTCAGGTATCACACAGTTCACATGGTATGTATTTTGTGAATTTCTGTAGCCCAGCTAATGCAGCAAATATTCAAGGGGACTGATAGATTATTGTAATCCTGCAATGTAATGGGCATCAGGACTTGCTGAGATCCTGTGTTCTGCAAGGGGCAGTTAGCCTGGGGCAACAACAGTAGAGTGCTGAGTAGAGGCAGGAAGGGAAGCATTTGCTGTGCTGTGCCCCAGAAACCTCAGGTGGCCCCTGCCCAGTCACATACAGCAGACTTCCTTCTGGACATGCAGCCCTTGCTCTGTGTCTCTCATGTACCAGCAGTGGTGCTCAGTAATTAAAATTAAATACAGTTTGGAACAAAAGAATGTTATCAAGTGTTTCTCTGGTTAAAAAGATAAAAAAATCCAAACGAAGAAATAGTAGTGGGAAGGTTTTTTTGTCTCACACACCTCTTTAATCTGCATCAAGCAAAACAAAATATTCCTTTTAGAAGACATAATGCTGCAATGTCTCCAGTGCAGAAATAGGCAATAGTGCTGAATGTCTTTCTCATGACAGGGTCACCAAACAGCATCCTGATCCGGAGCACATCTGCTCAGAGCTTATCAGGGCCACACTCTTCCAGGGCAAGGTAATATATTAATTTTCTTTCTCCCACTGGCTGCACCAGTAGCTGCATTGCTGCCATTCCCAACTTGTGGGCTGTCTTGCAGGATTGGGCTATCATGGTAGCTGCAGCAAAAGCACAGATCCTCAGCCAAAATTAGCCAGTAGGTCACATCAAAAATTAATCATCCCAGTCTCAGGTGGTTGATTCTTGGCAGAATTTCTCATTTAAGGAGGTTAGGCATAATTTAACCAAATAATTATTTTATCCAGATGAAATATTCACTCCACATCCTGTAACTCAAAAAACGTTAGGCCTTCCTAGATAATAGGCTCAGAGTATAACTCACAGCATATGCAGGCTAGCTTCTGTAAGTAGGAAAAGTAGAATCCTGCAGGTAGTGCACCCATGGCAACAGGGACTGCATATGGGTCCATACTCAATTATCTACCCAGCTAATTAGGTGGGCTTTGTAGCCTTTGCTCAGAGTCCATCACATTGTGGGCACATGCCAGCACACGAGGCAGAACTGGTATGTCTGCACAGACTTGCCACCAGTGCCTTTGCGCATGCAAAGCTGTTGGTAGGCAATTTTTAGGTTTCTGGGTTGGTTGTTTTGTTGGGTTTTGGGGTTTTTTTTATGATTTGGATTGGCACAAGGATGTATTGAAGAAATAAATGTTGCAGCATCAAAATTCTGGAACATATAATAGTTGAAACTTGCTGGAATTCCTTCTGTGAATAGATTACTGGAGTGTCAGATACTTAGTGGTAGTAGCAAATGTCTATGTTCCCTACAGTGCTCAGGCTAGAAGCCAACATGTAAAACCAAAACAAAGAGAAAATAAAACCTGACTTCTTTTGCTCATCCTGCGTTTAACAGCTGAACACTCCCATGTGAAATGCTTCTTGGTGTTGTAATATAACAGACTCAAGGATTGGTTTGATGCTATTGCTGGAACAGACCAAATAGTTATTGTATTTCTGCTGAAATAGATGCCTAAAATACATTTTTTTATATTTGGAATACATAACCTGTACATGCTGTATACATGTTACACATGATGTGTTGTATACATCTGATGCAAGGCCAAGCTGATCTGCCTGTATTATTTTTCACATATCCCTGTAATACAACCAGATAGTAGAATTGGGACAAAAGTGCTGTTTGCACCATGAGGGTTAGCTTGTAGAAGATAGAGCCCTAGAGTTGTAAGGAAAAATAAATAATAAATATTTCTTCAGTGTTGGTTTGCATACTTCTGTGCTTCAGAGACAAATTAATATTGGTTTTAATTTAAGAAAAAGCAACCGGCATTAAAAAAAAAAGACCTTATTAACATAGAATTCTGCTGCCCAAAAGAATGTTTAATAAATATTTCTTCAGTGTTGGTTTGCATACTTCTGTGCTTCAGAAACAAATTAATATTGGTTTTAATTCAAGAAAAAACAACCGGCATTAAAAAAAAGACCTTATTAACACAGAATTCTGCTGCCCAAAAGAATGTTCTGAATAGGTGGGGCAGCTTTTAATGAGGTTGAAAATATCTGATAAGGTTAAAAGATGGGGAATACACATTTACTTAGATGAACAATTAACAAAATGTGCACATCATCCCCTAATTTGTTAAAAATAAAACCCAAAGGAATTTGGAAAAAAATTTAAAGCCTACCCTTGCTCTTTACATTGCTGAATTTATCCAGTCATTTCTTCCCAGCCATAATTAGCCACAGATTGTTCCCATCACCTGTCTCATCTGCATATATAGAGCAAAATACCTCATTATCTGTACATTTCTCCCCAAATGCCATATGGAACGTTGTCATATATTGGCATGGGCTATAACCAGCTTTGCTCCCCTGAAAGGCAAGGGAAGGACGGGCACATGGATCCTACCTGATACAGCCTCACAGTGTGTGTCTGTAACCTCTGCAGTGCCCTGCACTTCAGCAGTGCAGATGCAGCTTAGGTTAACTGATGGTGTCAGTTGCTTGTGATCAGGATTAAAAGCATCACAGGCTGCTCTGCTTCTGCTCTGCAGAAGACTGGTTGCTCTTACAAATCTTGGGATTAATCCTCCTTATCAAAGCATGCAGTCTGTGCTACCCAACTCTACAAAAAATAAAAATCTCCTTAGGGAACACTGAAAAGCATTTAGTAAGTGTAGTCTGGGAGGCATGTTCTGTAACTTGAAATGCACACAGATAGAGAAAACCAGAAAAGCCCACAGGAAACAATTTAAACAATTTGATTTGGAAGGCGTGAGCAAATGCAGTTTTTGTACCCACATTAAAGGTGATCCTGATGCTCAGTTGAAACCCACAGAGTTTCTCTCCAATGCTGAATAAGAGAAAGGAAAAATGAAACTTCTGTAGCTCTGTAGCTGAGTTTTTTAAAATTTAAAACCATTCTCATTGTCTGCTTTTGGACATTTAAGATACATAGGTTTCAGTGGAAATCAGGTACTTCAGTGCTTTGAGAAAAACTCTGCTGGAGTCTCAGCTGAACCTTTTGATGTCAAAATACTCCTGAAATTGTATTTCCAGTAAATTCTTACAATGATTTAATCTCCCCCAAGGTGTGTCATTTTAATCCTAGGTGTTCTGGCTCATCTTGTAGGTTTGGACACACACTAATGATAACTGTGATTATCACTGGAGTATAACAATATGTACAACAGTAGAACTTGCAGTTCTGCTGTCAAGGCCTGTTTTGCTGGAGGAAAAAAATCCCTTTGAACACCTTTGAAGATCATGCTGTGAAAGACTAACTGCTTTATAGTGTGGTTTATGGAGCTTGGCCAAAGCACTTGAAGAGCTTTTGGTCATATATCGGCATTGTTGCATTTCTAATGGAGTTACACAGTAAATCTTCATTTGCTAGGAAATTTTCTGATCCTTTCATCTGAAGCTGTTTTAGTGTTGCTTTGTTGATTCTTTGTTTTAGGAGGAAAAAAGAGTGCTTCTGGCAATTTGGTAGCTGGTCATGTCTTTAAAGAAAATGCTATTAAATAAGCACAATTGCAAGGCAGTAGCAACTAATTCTAAAAAATCTCGAGCTAGATTTCTCCAATTTAATAGCAGATAGATCTGGCAGTGTGCATGCTGCATTTGTGAGGAAACAGGATGCAGATTCTACATACAGCTATAGAGCCCCTAAATCTTAAATGGTATAAGAAGTAGACCAGAATTTTGAGCTGTAGCATGGTGCAAGCAGCTGATAAACCATGCCAGATTACAGTGGCACTCTTCATACCAGTTTGGTACCTGTGTGGTACATGTCACGTCTATGCTAGTAGGTATTTCTATCTCCTGACAGGTCCCAACTTCCAGACTTTTAGGCAACCATACCACAGAAAGAAGGTTTTATGGATACATGCAAGGCTGCATCAGTATCAAGAAACAAGAGGCAGAAAACCTATTCTGCAAATGGCACCACACCATTTACATGGACATAGTTAATCAGTTCCTAAAATGCAGCAGGTAAGTGGCTTTGCCAGCGCTGTCTGCCAGGAGCAGCCCAGGCCAGGCTGAACCCCAGCCAGCCAACCACCACCTGTGATCCCAGCTCAGCGCTCCAGTTGCTGCCCTGGTCCTGGCCAGTTTACTCACACAGACATTTTCCACCTCCACATGTACAGAACTCCTGCAAGGAGGAGTTTAAAGGGCTAATCATGGGCTTAGAGAGCAGCAATGGCTTTAATCTGTGTGCTTTTACAGACTCATCATATAGCTTCAAGTCAGGCAAATGCTTTTCAACTTATTTTCTTCCTAGCTACAGATACTAATCTGCCTTCTTAACAGGACTATTATTATGTGAAGTATTATTACTATGAAGCTATGTAAAGCAATCTAAAAATACTGTTATCAGCTCCATGGTATTCTCATTGCAATACAGACTAGCTCATGCAGAACCCTCCATTACAGCTGCACCTTTCAAATGACTGATATTCACCTGCAAATGCATTTTACAAAACTCAATTTGTCTATATGCAGCCAGAAAATTAAATAGGACAGAAGAGAGAGGAACAGCACTGGCCCACAGTTCAGGAAACTCTTCCCAATATTCAGGACTCTCTCAAAGAGGCAGTAAGCAATTTTATCCCTCAGATTATCACCATAAATAATGAACTGTACATTCCCATTGGGTCAGAATCTGTCTCCAGATGTGCACAGGTATCCCATACTCATATGATTTGATGTTTTTTCAGAACCATGTATTAAAGAGATGTGGTATACAGCCAGGAGCAAAAAGGCAGGCTTTCCTAGCAACCAAAGAATTCTCAGTAAATCCTCTTGGTTGTTTATTCTAGCACAGGTACACTCGAAAAGGCTATTGCTGAGCCTGATAAATAGAAGTCTCTGTATTTAAACACAATCATGGGATTATGTATGTATCCTTTAGGGCAAATTAATTAGAAAGAATTGCCTGTTAGCAACTGAAAATTAATTTCCTCTCTTAAAGCCTTTGCTCTGCAATACTCATTTTCAAAATTAATGCTTCTCATTTTTATGCAGCATGCATGCTGCCCAAGTGCTGATGCTTACTACACACAGCATAGTAGAAATTCTTCTGCTTAGACACTATTTGGGTCCTTAAAATAAATGACTGCATAATTTTCAGAAACTGCATTTTCTGGCATTTAAATTGTGGAAATATAAAACTAAAATAGAATTCATCTTTGTCATCCTAACTACATACCCTATTTTCTCTTGCATGAGTCCATTAATATATATATTATTCATTAATGCATGACCCAAATTCTAACCTTCTAGTTAAAATGACAACCCAAGATGTTCTTCTGAAGTTAATTTTTATCATATTTTTTATTCAACATTTTTCTCAAATTATATTTTGAACATAAATACACAAGTTTTATGGCTCATGTTACAAAATACACTACTATGTGTTAGAAAACATATATAGACTATATCGTAGTGGTTACATTTGCTCCCATTTTCTCCTATTATTTTCATAACTTCTATTAATCTAGAAAAGCAGTATCAGAAAGCAAAATCCAACCTCCGAGCAGAACAGTCTACAACAGCTATAAGGACTATTTGTCAGCTGTAAGAGAAACTTTGGTTCCTGCCTGTTTTTATAGTAAGGTAATACCAGAAAGTTGCATGTCAAAAAGGAACATTGCCCCTAAAATCTAGTTTATGACAATATGTATTTTTAAAGACAGCTTCTCTTTTGCTTTACAGCTTAGTAAGATAAATAGATAGGTATTTTCAAAAGAGGGGAATTGAATGAGGGACCCATTCTTTTCTTACAGAAGTCACTGGCAAAACTCCAACGTACTTTCAGAAGAGCAGATTTGTAATTTGTTCTATTGACAGAACTGAAGAAAATTACATTTCAACTGACAGGATAAATGTCTCTTTACAACTCTCAAGAGTACTGCTAGAGGATCCTGTAATGCATGGATTTCCAGTTGAGTGTGTGGTGGACTTTACTTACTGCTCCTAGTGATCAAGATCCATCAGGGAGTAGATGTGATTCTCCAGTCCTGAAGGCAGGGACATGGAATACCATGCCCAAGGAGCATGTGAAATAAAACCTGTGGTCTTTTTGCTGCAGTGTAGCCAAGGGATACTAGATTATATATGCTTTATACACAGAAGAATCTCTTAACTTGCTTTTCAGCATACATACATTAAACTGTACAATGTAGTACTTCCACACAGTGGGCAAAGAGCAGCTCCCAGGGCAATAGCTATGGAAGAGTATAGAAAGTGAAACTGGCCTTGACCTCTCAAGCCAAGGGAGCCTAAGCAGTAGGTCAGGGAGGAGAAGAAGAAAAGTTTGGGAAAATGTTGCCAGCTGCCTGGCTTAGAGGCACTCTGCTTTTTTCCTTTTTTTTTTTTTTCCCCCCTACCAGGACTCAAGCCAACACTAAGCCTATGCCAACACTGACAATACTCAACTGAAGTTGCAAGACACATAGCAAAAGACATGGAAGAAAAGCACATAGCAGTAATGAAGATCCTAAGCCTACAATCCCATCTATAACAAGTATCCTTTGTGACTCATTGAAATCCATGCTATTATGGTTCAATGGAGGATGTGGGCAAATCCCTGAAATCAGGACGCATACCTGATTCTGAAATGCCTGTTTTGGGGTCATCTTGATAGAAAAGACTGAAAATTTAGACATACACAGATCTGTTGCAAAATTAAGAAAATAAATTTCAGCATAATTTTAAAACCACCAACCCTACTATGATATCCAACAAAAATACCTCAGTTTCTAGTACTGTTTTCCTTGAAATGGCACATGCTGGGAAACACTGTCCTTATGGTTGATAGTGATTTAAACTAGGCAGATTGAAACAAAACATAGTGGAATCAAGGCTTTGAATTAGAAGTAGCAAAAACAATTTCAGGGCAAATCACCCTCTTACTGGGATAATAATGTAGCCAGAAGTTTTATTCTATTCTAGTCAATGTATACATCTGATAAACGTTCTACTTCAGATTGCATTTTACTGAAAATGATGGATAGAATTAGAGTCCTTCACAAAACAGAAATTTAATCATTCTAATTTCTCCGTACTTCAATCTACTGAGGAAGGAAAAGAATGTTCTCAGCAACTCTGTTCAACAAGATACCTGCATTAAACAGATTTTGACTGAAGGATGTGTCTCGTCACCATTTCTGGCAATGTCTTTATGAGCTGAAGCATTTGTCTTGTATTTCATATGTGCAGAGATTAGTGCAACAGGCAATTTCAGTATGAATCCCAAATTCAAAGTTTCCTTTGGAAATACATAAATTCATGACTAAAATGTTGATCAGGTCCCTACTTAGAATTCATCCTTTTAACAGTACCAAAGTGACAACTTGCCCATCTGAGGGAATGAAGCTGTGCATCCCACTTTCCCAATTCCCATTTACAGGGCCGTGCTTTGCTGAAACTGGGTGAAAAGAAGGGCTTGCCACTCAGGTATGACCAAACCTCTGCTGTTGCACTGGGACAGTATTTGACAGATGCTTGCCTGGGGCCACAGCACAACTCAGCTAATGTAGGACTTATAGTGATTACCTGTACCTGCTATAGATATTCCTATATTAGTATATATATCTTCCCAATTAATTACTTAATTAATAACTTTGTTATTAATTTACTGGATGTGCATGCCTCCTTAAAAATGTTACAATCCACGTTTAGCTTTGATATTGAGTTGCAGAGGGAGGATGTTAGCAGCACAACGCACAGCTGTCCTGTATCTGTATTTTCTATTTGCCCAAAGCCATCACATCCCTGCAACTTTCTGTATAACAAAAACAAGTGGCTTACACATCGCACCTACCAAGAAAATTAATGTGCCTTGTGTACTGCAACAGTTCTAATAACACTGAGCATTAGAATTTAGTATTTTTTTAAAAATCTATGTTCTATGTTGAAATAAATAAACACTGATTAATTAATTTAGCCAGTTTTGTTCCAACCAAAGTCTGGTATGTGGAATGAAGTTTTAAACTATTATAATTCTTGCCAAATTAATACTAGCTCACATTAGATTACTTATTTAAAAATATTTGTTAATTTGTTAAAATCTACTCTTTCATGCAATATGTCACTTGGGAAAAAGTAGAAATAACTGATTTATGCAAGCAGAAACTAGCATGAGACATGGCATGTCTTCCTTGCCTTCCCTAAGTGCTATAGAACAGAATTAAGATATTTATAAATGTGAGTATAAATAAGGTAAGAGATTCTAAAACCATTTTAAAGTCCCTAACATTCCTTTTTTTTTCCTAAGTATCAAAGACAGCACCAATAGCTAAACATTTTCCAATGCTCTAACACTGCAGAATGTTCTAAGTATGTGAAGACTGTCTTGCACCCTTAATCCTGTGATCCAAGCCTACTGAAATTGCTCCCAGGTGTAGAAAGTCTATCTGCTTGGGTCCTAAGTTGGCATTAGCCACAAAAGGATATCACATTTTTTTTAATAGCAAAAACAATCCTGGATTTAGTTCAGTTAGATATTTAATAGTGGGATTTGCCAGACCATCACTGAAGACACTAATTCATCTTGTCGTTGCTGCTTGGTCTTCTTGTTCAGTCTTCTGTGTCCTTGGCCACCAGAAATTACTAGCACTGAACTGGCTTTCATTTTCTTAGATTTCTGTCTTTTGCTTTTAAATGAGATATTTTGATCCTTCAGAAGCTCATAAATGTTACTGTCCTCTGGTCTGTGTTCTAGGGAACTTGATCCATGAGACAAAGTAAGGGATCCAGAAGATGATGACAAGTCACTTCTTTGTGCAATGGACCCTGCTGAATCCCCCAGCCAAACTGCAGTGTCCTGGGTGTTACTAAGGGAAGAGCCCGGTCGTTCACTGTGCAGAATGTTCTTTTGGTCATCGTCCTTAGGTTCTGAGCCAGGAGGGAGGCTGTTTCTCAATTTGTTTCTGTTCTTTTTGTTTATAGATGTAGCTGTTACAAGAAACTTGACTGGGCTATTGTGTGCATGGTATGACACCATTCCTCTTCCTGGAGCCAAAAGAAAAGACACAATTAAAGAACATTATTTCTCAGACCACAGTGTTCTACCATAATTAGTTCATGAAATTTGCTCAGAATAGCGTAACTCTTAAAGCCCTATTATATGCATCCAGTCTTTTGCCTTGTGTGGACACAATTTACAGAAAAAAAAAAAGTGCAAAAATAATGTTCTACCACGAGTGTTTCAGGACTAATAAATCAGCTGAAATATGGCATATGAACTTTAGATTATGTACTTTTGTGCTCTGTTCTCACTATGGCATGAGCACAGAAATACTGCTGGCTTTTTAGCTGGCATCAACACAAATGTAACACTGTGTTTTCTCCAGTAATCCCCACATATTTTGTGTACCCCAAATCAATCCTGTTCTACCTCTGTACCTCTCCAGAACAGTATAAGAACATCTGTTTTATCACAACTGACCGATCCACACTGTAGAATAGGAACTAAAACTCATCCTTCTGGTTGTCTAGTTAGCATTATAGACTCAGAAGGAACTGACTGAACAACCATTTTTTCTCTTTTTTTTTTTTTAAGTATTTAATCAGTGATATATTGGTGGTACAAGGAAGATTTACACAGTGCAAATCATTAGAATGTATGAAAAACAAATTGCACATGGCCAAATTGAGAAGCTGTAACAGTATCAAAAAATTTGCCTTTTACAGCAGAAAAAAAAAGGAGAAAAAATTTGAATTCTACCAAGTAAGCTACAATATTAAAAAGAGCTAGGGTAGCAAGGGGAAAAGCCCACAAATCTTATAAATCACTACATCCATCCCTAACTCCCAAAGGCATTTCACATTTTAAGAAAACAGATTCTGCTTTTACAGGAAGTACATTCATATAAAGATGAATTATCACTATGGGAAACGTAATGGGGAAAAGACACTGTTTTAAAATTGAAAATATAGCTATCAGTGAGTATAAAAACAGATCTCTAAATGTAATGTTTCTGGGTCTGTGAAATCTGACAAATCTTGATCCCAGATAAATGCAAGAATATATGACATAAACCAAAATAATAAAAACAGAAAATGGAAGAGTGAGAGAATTTTTGATTCTGCAACTATGCATATTCTTGTAATTGTATTTATTTTCACCTAAGATAGGTTCCAGATTTTTACAAAGCATTTATCCTGTGTCATACCAGATTATTGCTGCGTATTTTGCTGAACACAGAGGATTTAATTTTCATTTTGTTAAGTTACATAAGCTTTTTTTTTCCCCTGGAGGAAGCTGCAAACAGCTTGCCTCATAGAATCTGCCAGCTTCCCTCTGCAACACAGAAGCTTGAGCAGAATTGTGAATCCAAAACACTGGGGAAAAGCCCCTGTTAAACACACTTTGAAAACCTTGCTTCTAATAGTAGCCTAAACATTTGTATAGTGATACAGCAGCATTTGTGTGCTTGTATTTCAAATGGGGTAATATGAAAGTAACTCATAAATACATCTCTCCAGAATGCAAAAACCTTGATCACTGTTAAAAAAATGAAATATATACTCTCATATATTCCTAGTCTCTAGTTTGGGGGAAAAGGGAACACAATCAATTTATTCAAAATCCAGTTACACAACTTGTTCATTTTTTAAGTATCTGTGTCTCTAAACCTAATGCATCAATTTTCCCTAAATCTGGAAATAAGACTGTCTGCATTCTCTTCTCCTCCCTATATATCTGGCTGTACTCTGACAGGATTAATGCCTATCTCAAAGAAAAACAGTTGTCCCCTCTCAAACAACTGAGACAAAACTAGACAAGTATCTGGATAATACTGTAAAGCTCAGAAAGAACAACAAGTGTAATTTCATCACACAGTCCCAACTTTTATCTAAACAATACATATCATTTGACAGGTTCACTTAAGTTACTGGCAGAAGAGAAGTGACATCTTCAGTACGTGATCTGTTTGAGAAATTTCACTCACCAGTTACTTTGGGAATCCCCTGCAAGCGTGGCACTGGCAATGCTACTATAATCCCCAGGTTTGTTCCAACCAGCAGTAGCCCATGGCACACCAGGAGGCTGGTCACAGAGACACGCTGCTGCCCTGTGGAGTTTAGCAAGTGTTCCATTACTGAACAGTGATGGCCTTTGCCTAGATCAAAGCAACTTCAGGCAAACACAATCAGCTGAACCATCTCAAGTCAGCAAAGCATTCATTGCAAGGCAAATATTTTGTTGGATTATGGAATTACACTTTACATACATGACAATTTAAATATTATTGAACATGTGAAACATTCTGCCCTAAATTTCTGAACCACAGCATCCAAAGGTAGACACAGATTGTCTCTACAAATATGCTTTTATGGACAGGCTATGTTTGTATATTCCCAACAATAAAACAGATAAGCATTTCACTTCACAATACTCAGTAACTCTATACTCAAAACTCAAGGCTGCTCATGATCATTTTTTTTCCTAGTTTTTAATCTGTGAAACTCTATCAGAAGTGCTGTGTTCACCTGTCTAAGTTTGAGTCCCCACATACCGGAATGGCATTCACATATTGGAAGAAGTCCAACCAATATAATCAGGGGATTGAAGATATTAAAGGAAGTGCTGTCTGCGCCTACCTGATGGAAGGATGCACAGAAGACAGTCAGACTCTGTCCACATGTGCACAGTGATATCGTAAGACACAACATGCTCAAATTTAGAGCATGGGAAAATTGCATTCTATGCAGGGAAAAGCTGCGTCACCATAAAGGTGGTCAAAAACTGCAATGGGTTGCTCAGAGAGGTGGTGGGATCTCCATCCTCTGCAGAAGTATTTAAAATTTGGCTGGACAAGACCTTGAACAACCAGGTCTAATCAGGCCTTCTTCATGAAGGATGAACAAGACTGCCTCCAGAGTATGTTCCAATCGAAATTACTCCATAATTTTATGTTTTTCTACAACACTATTTACAGGACTGCTATTTTTCTAGTGAAAACAAAGTAATTTTTGCTTGCAATGGTGACTAAAAATATGCTTGATTCCATTTAAATGGATTTTCAAAATGTCCTTGACAAGCTTCAGAAACTGAAACTATGATCTGCCCAAACTTTTGCCCAAGTTTATGGGGAGGAGCATTGAAACTCTGCTCGAAGCTCAAGGAGCTTCAGGTCCAAACCATACACATTCTTGGATTTATTATTAACTCTACATGTGAGCGAGCAGTCATTCCATCTTCATCATAGCTCTCAAACTGTGAATCACTTCATCAGTAGGTCTAGAATTTGAGTTCCACGTTTGATTTAACTCGAGTGAACCCTCATGCTCAACACTTTGGAGAAGGATCTTAATTATGGTGTTTCACAAATGAATGCATTTTCTGTCTTGTCCCTTAAGCGGAGCTAATTTACATCCAGGAATATATGAATTACAGACTCCCTGGGAAATCAGGGAAGGAGCAGCTTGACAGTCACCCAAAGCACTTGACTGGAAAATAGGAGGCAGCCACAGTCCAAGACTTTCTTCACAGAACTTTACAAAACCAAGTATTAACCCAGCAATGGTGTGTTTTAAGAAACTCTCACATAGGGTCAGACCTGGAATCCAAGGTCTGTCTATCTAAAAGCACATCCTAAAACACCCTCAAGGCACAATGATTAGGTCATCCCGGTCAGGTGTAACAAGGACAAGTTTAAAAGGCTCCATCTACTTGTGCAGACCTTCAGAGACTACTATGTTGAGTTCCATGAACTACACGTGTTTATGCTGGTAGGACACATCATCCTTCCTCCGCTAAATAAGCAAGGATAGTCTATGTTGTACACAAATGACAAATCTTGAATCTTTTTTTGCGTTTTCAATAGGTTTGTTGTTTAGTTTGGTTTGGTGTTAGGGTTTTTTGGGGTTTTTTTTTGTTTTGGCTTTTTTGAGATATTAATGGGATTAATTTAGTTGCCAAAACAAAGTACACAAAGGCACTCCTTCAGCACAAAAGAAGTTCCAAAATAATGCCCAAACCTCTGTGCTCTGAAGTTTTCAAAAGTCAGTTTTTGAATTCTGTGATTTAGAGCTCAGGCTTGCGGAATTTATTTATGACATGTGAGTCTTCTCCTACCACCTGTAGCACAGCAAGTGCAAGCTAAGGTACAAGCTTAGCTTAACTTAGAGCTTGTTCTACAAACTACACAAATACTTGAGCACAAATTTTAACTTTTAATATTATCAAAAGCTCCAAGTGCACTATTGCCTCTCAATCCCCTGCAGAAGCAAGATGCTGCTATTTTTAAACAATAGAACTCTAATGCTTTTTAAGCATTTAAAAGACAACATTATATTCATGATTTCATACTCCAAACCTGAAGCAACTTTTAGACAGTAATTTTTACCTGACAAATATGTGTTACTGTTTCCATAGGTAAAACCAACAATTTATCAGCCAGCAACTTAGAATATTAAACACTGACCACAGCCTAAAGCATGAAACAGCTACAGCGAGGTCAAAGCAAAAATTGCTTGCTGTGAAATCTTGGATAAGCAGGAAACATCTGCATCTGAGAAGATACTTTAAATAATATAAAACAGCTAAAAAAATATATATATACATTAAAAAAATATAACGTAAAATATTCATTTGTCTGCTAGCCAAGGTTTGAAATCATATTTATCTTTGTTATTTTCTGACTTTTTGTTTTGATATATTTCAAATTCAGAGGGAAATAGTCAATCCAATTCCCCAGAATATATTATGCAATAAACAGACAAATTAACAAGTTAAGAAGGGAAAATGATAAACATATTCCAAAACAGTAAAATACTTTTCTTTAAATATCAACTTTTAGATCACACTGTCCCAATGAAGAAAAACTGTTAAAACCTGTAAAATAATCTGACCAAGATCCTGAATTTGCAAATACTGAAGCCAATAATTAAGTGTATGGTCTGCTGTGTGTTCACCCTTCTCAGGTCTCCATTACAACAACCACCAGAGCTGGATAAATCCTCACAGATCTGAATTCAACCCCAGTTAGGTGCAAGGACATTGCTCCATATCCTCTTACATGGCCATGCTGCTCCTAGAATGTGACAAACCAGCCCACTGTACAGATCTGCTGGGCTGACCTGAAGTTTTCTCATCTTTTTATCATTTCCCAACAGTAATCATAAAGTAACTGCATTTCATGCTCTGGCACCTGGCAGGGTGGGAAAAAAGCAAGCTGTAAAGCCTCGTAGTAGAGTTGGTTTTCTGTAGAGAGGAAATGATACTTTTTTTCCTTTGCTTTTGCCATCTGTTTCCAGGAAACACACATGCCATTAGAGGATATATGGATATAAACAGAATATGGCAAGTTAAGCAGAAATCATTTCTTTTAAACAGGTAACCTGTCATCATCCATATGAGCAATGAAGTATCAAGGTCACTGTAATTACAATAGTCTCTTTAGAAGGGCAAATTCTTGTAGAGTTGAGGGCAAAAACATGTTTAAGGATGTTCTTTAATAAAACACTGACTGTGACTATGAAAAAACAAGTGGTCTGTTCATGTACAGTATGACTTTTTTTGATGTGAGCTGTAACAAAGGCTGGTGAAAAACTGACTTGGTTGATCCTTCAGCTACAGATCACAAAATTTAAGCATAAACTTTCTCTATAAATGATATATGTTGCACTAATGAAGTGTGAGTATTTGTCTTCAAATGTTAATAGATTTCTTTGCTGCCCAGTATGCCCTCTGTTAAGATAACAGAGCTGTGCTTGGGCTCCTTAAAAGCGATCCAGCTGTACTGTGAACCCACAGTGAAGAAGACAGTGAAATAAACAGCTAGCTGGATCTGTAACAATGATTATGTTCTTCCTCTCGACCATTCTCTTCCTTTCTCACATGGCATTTGGTCTTTCGATACAGAACACAATCTTGTTATACATTATTGAGAAATATTTTTGATGACATATGAAGTAAAGGTAGTGCAGATTGGTCTAGACTAAATGTCTATCCCACAGCCACCTCTCTGATCCTGGTTTCAATTCCAGTCCTGCATTCCAACACACAAACTTTCCACAGCTCCAGAAAGTGAGAGCCCTCCGATCTCCAAAATTCAGAAGGGGACTGCCACAAATTTAAAATTACCTCCAGCAAGTAAAAGAATCTGTCAGACACAGTCTTTTTTTTTTTTTTTTGCATTATTAAACTTCACCAAATCACAAGGACAATGCCTTCTGTGCCATTTCACTCCCCTGTGATTCTGTCCTTTACAAGACAGAGAACTGTGATATATAAAACTGTCTTCTCCTAAGAAAAAAATTGGGGAAATTTACTGCTATGAGAACTCAGTATTAAGGTTATGAGACCCTCTTACTCTGCTAAATGTAGTTATCTTTAAAGCACTGTAACTCACAGTAATTATTCGTAACAGTGACAGTAAACTTTTCTTTTACTTGTACAGTATAACAACAAAAAAATTCATTAACCTAATGAAGCAACATTCCTCTTATTTGCATTACTTTTGAGTAAAGACATCTCTACGTAGTCTATCGGGCCAGTAATACATCTTGTTACTTCTAAAATCCAGGGAAAAGAAGCCCAGCTTCTTTAAAGTTATACAAAGATCTTGCCTTTTTATATCTCTCTTCTTAAGACTCGTAGCAATATTTTTACACAAATTTCTTCTCTCATTTCAACACCACTTGAATTTTTACTTATCTGTTATTTCTGCATATTGAGGAACTTCTATTGAATTTCAGAAAGCTAACAGAGCTGCTTACTTTACACATAAAAATCTCTCATGAAGGCAAATACATATATTGTAAATATACAGCTATTTCACCATGTTGTAATTCAACTTTTGTTGGTTTTTTTATCCTTTTTTATCTTAATATATACTATACAGAACTTGATTCTTTAGCTCCTTTTAATTCCAAAACTGCTGCTTTATTATGTAAACCTCCTACTACTCTGTCTTTTAGCTTTTGTTGTTGCAGCATTTTTGAGATCATATAAACAGGCCTGAGAGCTGCTGCTAAATAATTGAAATTCAGTTCATTTTTAGAAAGGAGTCTCCCTTTGAACATTTGCTATAATAATGTCCTACTCCCAAAATAGCCTTCCATTTCCATTCACTGGTGTGCCTTCTGTGAAGACACTGAGAGAAAAAAAAAAAAAAAAGGAACTAAAATGGGTACAAATGACACCAAGGAGCTAAAATTAGCTGAAACTCTTTTACAAAAATAATAGTATATCAGCAGTTTTATTGCCATGGCAATGAACACAAAGCTAAATTTTGGAATATTTTTACATGCAGAAAATATGTATAAGGGAGGTCTTACTTCCCTTTTTCCCCCTGCCATGAACAGCAGAATATACTAAAAGTTAATCTTTTTAATCTTTTTACAACTGATCTTGATGTCTTTGCACAATTCTGATGAATTCAATCAAATTATCTATGTAAAGGCAGGCAATTTGCTGCTGTTCAGTGCTGGAGCTACGGTCAAACACCACACACAACAAGTACCCTGTCTAGAACACAACAAACAGACAAAATTTATAATGGAGTTTTATTGCAAAGCTAATGTAATCTGGAAGAAAACATGCTAAGAAGAAGACACTGAAAAAGTGAAACATTTTTGATATAAGATTTATACCTAACTCCTGTGAGAATATAAATATAATCTCTGTGTGGGAAGAACTGGCTTCAGCTAGAAAAACTAAGCAATAAAGCTGGCACACACATTGCCCATAAAAACTGCAGAAGCTTGGTCTATTCCAGTCTACAAACAGGGAGAGACAGAAAGAATGGTTGTCCACTCATGGGTACCTCATGCTCAGCCATGCCAGGACTTTTCTGTCCCTCTCCTCCCAGCACAGCCCCAGCTCCCACCTGATGTGTTGCTGATGCTGAGGTCCTTGTCATCCACTTGCTAAACTGATACAAGCCATTGCAACTGCTTATTGAACAGCTTCTGTCTTAAAACACGTAAAGAGTTTTCATTTTTAAAATTTTATCCTAACAACCACAGGTTAGATTTAAAACTAATAATTTAATTCACCAAATTAGAGCTCAGGTCAGCAAAACACAGAACACATTCCAAAATGGCAGCATGTGAGTGGTTCAGCTGAGTTCCCTGGATCTACTGATATAACTAAAAGTAAGCAAGTGGTTTTTTGGTCCAGATCCTAGGCAAAACGATTCCATCGTGTACTAGATTCTAAGGTTCCAAAAGCAAATGCTAATCTCTGCAAAGTAAACACAATTTCATGACAGATTACATTGTCCAGCTGTTTCACAGTCACACAAAAATATGACCAAACAGAAGAATCCACCTGCTTATCTCAACCTGTTGTTACTCAGCCAGCTCACTGCACACATTGTTCACCTGGGCAGGAGATGGACTATGACTTACTGAAGTAAATAGTCAGGAGACACTTACCAGACTCAAAGTCTGAGATGAATCTTCTGATTCTAGCCTATTCTACAGCACTGAAGAACAACAGTGATAAAACAAAAATGTTACCATGTGATGCAATTCAGCTACCTGGCAACATATTGTGAACAGGTGTGGCAATGTTAACATCCTGGAGGTGTTTCAGTGTCTCTGTGTGGAACAGTCGAAGGGTAGATCCTGATGTGAAGGCAATCCAGACTCCCACTCCAGCCACAGCCATGTGAGAGATAACCATCCCTTCCTCTTGATGGGCTTCAAAATGGTTCTGCAACAAAATGCAAGTCAAGGATATCACTCAACCTTTCCTACCAGCTTTTCAGTGTAAGCACCATATCTTCATCCTCTTTGACAAGGACAAAGCTTCCTCTGCCTTGCTCAGGATATGTTCTGATAGAAATGTATGATGTGTTAATTTCCCTGGGACGTTTTTGGAAATATATCATCATTAGTACAGAAGGATTCTCAGCTCTTGAACCAGGGTTCCACCTAAGAGATTAACTCAGATTTTCTGATTTTTAAAAATATTGCATTATAGGGGCTGGCAAGCCCAAAACAGCTCAGACTTAAAAGGACTTTGTATTTCTTTATTTATACTCCTTTGGGAAAAGTACCACAGCTGTACTTTCATCTACAGCAGAACTTCTATTTCAACAATAAAAAATACTTTTGTTCTGCTGGGGATCATTTCATAACAAGAATAACAGAATGTAATAATTCATCTACAGCAGAACTTCTATTTCAACAATAAAAAATACTTTTCTTTTGTTCTGCTGGGGATCATTTCAAAACAACAATAACAGAATGTAATAAAAAGTCGTATTTAGAAAGTAGAGTGTTTAAGAATACAAACACACAATTATTTGCACAATTACACACATAGCAATGTCAGCCTTAATATCACAGTTTGGTTTTTGACGCCTCTGAATTTCACAAGTATTAGCTATATTGTTTTCCTGTCCTTCAAAGAATTGGTGCTTCTCGTTATAAAAGCCAAAATCCTCTAAATATAAGTAACACAACACTTTGAAGATAGACCTTTTTCCTTGATCTAGAGCCAGTTACAACCTGGCTCCAGGAATGCAGAAACCTCTCTCTCTGTATGTCTCTAACATGTGAGATAAAGCTGTAGTAAAGTTTCTTAATCGTTAACAAGAAGGAGGGATTGTTTTCCCTCCAGTTTTGTCTTGTAAGAAGACTGTCTCTGAAGTTGAACACAGCCTTTTATTGTTGTGCCAGCTTTTATCAGAAAGCCAGTTTGACAAACACAAAACTTACTTAGCTAAATAAATGACAAACTGTTCCTTGGATAAAAATCTCTGACTGAGGGGTATGGAAGTAATAAGTGCTCTAATATTGACTTAATATATTATATATTCTTTATTATATTTGCAGATAAAATGCAGAAGTACCTCCTCCTTCCTTGTGAAATACACTTAAATTTTTCCAGGTGTTACAATTAAGTTACATTTTGGCTTTTTTTTCATTAAAATTTAAATATAATAAGGCTATAGATATATTGTCCAAATTTTCCATCAAAATTCAACTATCAGGCTAAGATCAGAGACAAAGAATAACTTTTGGTATCATGTTTAGTAAGCACTTATTTTTTTTATACTTTATTACTGCATAAACTATTATTTTCACTGTTATTTGCTGTTTAAAGAGGATGGGAATTATCTTTTGTGTTTTTCGTTTGTTAACATTATTCTCCAAATGTTTAGTTTTAGTAAATAAACATAATTTTCTCTTCAGCTGTCAGGCAGTGGTTCAGTTTTTGAGTGTTACTGTATTACCTTTTGATTCTTTGAATAATAACACTGCAGAATGTAAGGCAAGCAACTCTGGCAGACACATTTATATTCATTGTTTTCCTCAGGTAACCAATATTAATTCATTACCAAATGATACACACAATTTGAAAATCATAAGATTTTTTATAGAGAAGAATTTATCCATTAAAAATCTTTCAAAGTCAGAAACAGCCCTTATGACTAGATTTGCTGATATTCTAATCATGCATGTTCCATTGCAAAAAAAGATTCTAAATTACTCACTTTTTAAATAGATTCATACATCTCTACACTGAAGAAGAATTTATCCATTAAAAATCTTTCAAAGTCAGAAACAGCCCTTATGACTAGATTTGCTGATATTCTAATCATGCATGCTCCATTGCAAAAAAAGATTCTAAACTACTCACTTTTTTTAATAGATTCATACATCTCTACACTGGTGACTAACTGGCTTTTGAGAACTTCTAGGGGATAGACCCACAGCTGCTGAAGTGTGCTGAAAAGAGTGCTGACCAGCACTCTTTGAAATTAGAAGAAAAATGAAGAAGATTGTAAAAACCGAATTTTCTCTGGAGTGATCCAACCACAGCTGACAACTATGCTGATGCCACTGAAAACAACTTGCACATACATTTTTGTAGCATTCCATTTTTACTAGCCAACTCATTATACTCCCACTTAAGTCTGTCCTGCCATTTGTACAGCTGTCTGCTGGAACATACAGACCCACTCGAAGTAAAACTGTATACTGCAAACACGACAAGGCCTGTAGAAAGAACTATTCTTCTCATTGAAAGGGTCCTCTAACATGGAGCAAGAACATATCCCAAAACTGCACCTTCTTATGCATAAATTTTTGCATAAAGGATAGCTTTGACATCTGTTTCAATTACACGTCTATCTGAAAACCTGTGAGCTGATCTTTTACTTCTAAATTTCTTTTCTTTTTATAACAAGAAATAGAGATACAAAGGAACAAAGATGTCTTATTCATTTTGTTATCAAAATAATTGAATTCATTTTCTTTTTCTCTTTGAGTTTTCATACCTACATTCCTCTTGCCTGGCTTTTCCCCCTCAGGCTCTCCCATTCTAACTACAGCAGCACAGGAGCTGCAGAAGGCACTGGGGATGCCACAGCCAATGCAGCTCACCGGTGTTCCAGCAGTGTGGGACACAGCAGAGCTCCCTCCTTCTCTTGAGGGAGTGCTCACTTACACCAAACTGCTGCACCAAGAGATGAACCAGGATTTCTCCAAGTTCAGGTGAGGAGGATAATGGGTGCCATTACCTTCAATATCAAACAAATGTCTTTCACTGCTTTAAAGAAGTTACAACACTTGGGCAACACACATTCATGTACAGGGATGTCCACATTTTTGTTTACTCAGCTGAACGTTTCAGTGTAACCCCTATATAGATAGCAAAGTTTTAAAAACAAGACAAAACAGACTAAGATAGAATGACACTCAGCCAGTGAGTTTATTAAATATTCTGTCACTTTTTGAAGTTTTGAAACAGGAGCAAACTGCCTTTGCGGAGTACAAGGAGCTCCAGGCACAGAGACCATTAATGGACGTAGGTCTGTACCCAACTGCAATACAACTGTCAGATCTAGGGTCAAAACTAAGTGACAAATTTCTTCTTCACAGAAAGAGGATCAGAGTATGTAATTAACATATAACAGCAATTGATGCATTTATCATGTGTGCTCTGCCAAGGATCTTGAGGCATTGTGCCAGTTTGGGGCATTGTGCCAGTAAAAGACATTACCTAAAACATTCTATTACAATAACATATCATTAGAACAAGTGAACTGGGGGGGAGAAAAGCAGAAGTGAGTAATATCCAAATCAAATACACACAATGCCAAACCTGCTCATTTACTAAAAATTATTTAAGAAAGAAAAAATCTTAAATAAAAATCTTAGCAAAGCAAGAAGGCATGGAATGACATTGTCTTCAAGGATAATGTACTTTGCACTTAGCAAATGCACACACAGCTAAATATAAGATACCTGTAAAGCAAAAAGTGCCTCACAAGGACAAGTTTAAAAAATAGACTTGAATATGCTCATGGACTTGCACAAACATGGCCTTAAAGTCTTGCCAGATGCCTTTACAAATAATGTACATGACACAGAGCACAGAGTATGCATGCATGTAGCAATGAAGTAGCAAGCAGCTGCCTTGCAGTATAAACAGGGTGTATCTCTACATTATGTATATGGAGATATAAAGGAGTTCAGTGAAGAGGGAAGAGTAACAGGTGAGCCCTGTGCAACACTTGGATTCCTGCTGACAGAGCGAAGATCACATTTATGCAAAAGATCTTGAGTCAAATCATTACAACTAACTTTCAATGAGAGAGCACAGAGGGAGAACAAACATTTCCTTGCTCCTGCTTCCTCTCATAGCAAATATTCTGCTCTTCACAGTATGGAAGAGGCAGCTTAGATGTTAAAATATTTGATATAAACAGAGTTTAAATTGCCTCATATATTGTATAATATCAAAACAATATTGTCAGTGAACATGGGAAGGACAACATAGCAGATCACTTTTGGAAACATAAACCTAGGAAGTTATCAAAACAAGCCACATCACTAAGTAGGCAGCAACACTGAAAACATTAGTGGCCTGTTTAGTCTGGTGACATGATGAGAAAAAGATCAGTATGTCTTAATATCCATAAAGAAGCAACAGAAAATCATCGCTCATTCACAATTCTATGAGGAAGATGACAAGCTATGCCATGGATATTTGTGTGAAATTAAAAAGATGACCCTCAGCCAGATGTACAGAAAATCATCATGTTCTTGAGCAAACTAATTTATATTGAAAAAACATTCCTCAACCCATATGCACCATTTCTTATCTGTTGCTTGCTGCAGCACTTATTGTGTGTGCAATAGACCTGTAATAACCTGAGCTCTGAATACAACAGATGGCTTAGTTGAGAAATGAGAAGAAACCTCCTGTGATGCTTTTGTAGGAAAATCTGTAGTAACAGCTGAAAAATGAAACTGCCAGGTCTGAAGATATTGGTAGAGTACTTGTTATTTTTCCTCCAGACTTCTGTTTTCAACACTGCAATCCATGACATTTTACTGTATTATGACAGAGTAAGCTTTAAACATTCTTTAATCCTCAGAGTTGGTTTAACTCTAGGTTTGTTTTCCTCTGCCAAAACAGGCCAGCACAGCCCAAACTGCAGCCATACCACCAGACTTGAGAGAGCTGTGTTACAGAATTAGGCCAGACTTGCCAAACCTATTTACAGAGATCTGGCTGTATGTATCCAGCCTCACACAGGAACAACCTGGCTGTGATTTCTTACCATTTTCCTAGTAGAATCTGAGAGATTTTACTAAAGTCTGCAAAATAGCAACCATGTGTCCCAGAGGCTGTGAAACTAACAAAAGTCTATTTCAAGCACCTATCCAAATCACTCATCCAAAATCTTTCCCTAATCATACCATTCAAACTACCAACAAAACAAGCCTTAAAGAAAAGCAAAGTACAAGAATATATAATCCAAGCATCTTAACAGATGAAACAAATATCTCAGAAAACACAGAAAAAGACAGAGGAAATTAGGATGTTAGGATGTTAGCTATTTCCCTGCAAACCCATGACAGTGACTCACAGAATCAATTGTACCAAACAGACAATTGTTGGGAGAAAACACGATCATCAAAGAAAAAAATGCAGCAACAAAGCACACAAAGAAGGAGGCTGTGAGCTCATCATGACTCCTGTTTGAAAAAACTTCATGGCTGTAAACATCATACAATTCAGAGACACTCTGTTGTAGGTTGAAGGAGAGGTTGAAATCCTGATGCTTCATCAACTCTTAAGTTTGGAGTACTAAGATGTTCTTTTGGTGAAAGCTGCAATTTTGACAGAAATAAGGGCTTAACATTTTCTGGAAAATGTGGTCACAAATGTGAGTTTGACCCTTAAGACTCTTCTCTCATTCAAAAAGCCAGCTTTTGTGTGACTATTCGTAAGAAACTGCTCTTATGCAAATAAAATTTTTGTAGGCCACTGAGAAACAAAACTCTGCCTCTAGACAGTTAGATGCAACAAAACTCTGCAAAAATATATTATGAAATTATTGCAAGGTACAAGTAACATCTAACTGTATAGAGGCAGTCTCTTAGTTAAACCTTCTTCTGTAATTAACATAAAATGTGCCTATAGGCACCCAGTTCCCTGCTGCCTTACTCAGATTTCATTTTAAAGTAAATCTCTTGCCCCAAATACTCTGTCATTTCCAAGCACCTTATGGAAACCAGTGGGTAAATGGCAGCAAGGTCTGATGAGACATCAGCAGAGAACACAACAGCAGAATTACAAACTAAGGAAATGAGATTTAAAAGAACTGAGACCACATTCAATAAAAAGCTTCCTGAATCACGATACTTCTTGAACACATTTTCATCTTTAAAATTTCACCACTTGAAGCATAATAGGTGAGCAATGCTTTCAAAAGTGTTTACCTCTATGGAATGCGTCACAGTGCTGATTATAAAAATTTGTCCACCACATGCAGCCCAAATGGTCTCCTCCATCACAAGCAGACTTCTAACAGGTAGAACACCCAATTTAACTATCTTCTGAGGTTCTGTGTTCCATGTCCCATCTTCAATAAAAAAAGAAAAAAGGTTATATACAACCAAATGGTGATCTTTGCTTTAGAACAGTCTTGTGAAGTCCACCACTTGAATTTCTGCAAGTTGCCACTTCAAGCTACACTGTGATTTGTGTATGATTATTTTTAGCTTCCAGGGTAATTTGCAAGGTAAAACAACATTAAGGAGAAAATCCAAACCTAAGAACTCATATAACTGTCAACAGAGTAAATTTTATCTAGATTAAATGATAATTCAGGAATACCACATTGCTCTTCTGATACAACTGCTTTCCTTTGCAGAGGAAATACAATCAGAAACCCAAGGCTAACACAATTGTCTCCAACTCAGAAGGAGCTCACAGCCAACTTACTTCAAGATGAATCAATTTCTAACTAGGACAGAATCATCTTTCATTGCAAAGTCGTCAGGAAGATTTTTACTGTAGGCTGTAATGAGTGCAGTTCACTCTCTGAGAGCATTTTGATGGAATGGACCTTCCTACTATCAGATACTTCAATTAAGATGGAAATTAAGACCAAAAAAAAGAAGAAATTAAAACTTGGTCTTGTGCCATACCTTCACTTTTCTTACTTTTTCCTCTAATTATAAAACCCGCAGTGTTTTCTTTGGACTGCTTTTAGCAGTTCTAAATTAAATTATGCATGTGTATGGGGCACAATCAGTTATTCAGAGAGGTTCTGCTAAGAACTGCATGCTTCCACCTGCTGATATGGTCACTCACAATTGCCATCTCTTTGAAATAAGGCCTAGGAGATTATTTATCCCCAAATTTAAGAACCAGCAACACAGGCTTCTTGAAACAGTTGTGGCTTTCTCTTTTATACATGCAAATTGACATGTTAAGTACATCAATAATAATTTTAATATTTTCATATTAGTTTATATATTGTAAGTTCTCACTGAATATAGTCTGAAAGATGACATTTCTATACATTATAATATAATAATATAAAGATCTGTTAAAAGTAACTGGGTTTTACCCTGAGATAAAATATTTCAAAAGCTCCGTTTCTTCATTGAAAAACCTTCCTGCAAAAGCGGCAGAAAAGTTTACTTTTCTGACACTGGTTTCAACTCAGTAACCACTTAAATTTTGATTGATGAGACCAAAGTAAACACATCTTTAGGCAGACACTTAAGTACATTTTTTTCCTTTTCCCTCCTGAAAACAAGTGCATCTTCTATTATTTGCTTAGGGAACAGGGGTACAAAATCTCCTGCTTCACCAATCACAGTAGGAACAACAATAATGAGAAGCCTCAGTTCTGGAGTACTTCTCAAAATTTCTGTCATCTGTGAGATACAACCTTTGCTGAGTCATTCTCAGGATGTGGCTCTCTTCTGAAAGCATCTTTGTAGAAGTGACATTTAGTTTCAGGCTGTCAAAATCATTTTCATTATTTTAGTTTGCATTGAGAAGAGTGCTTCCAGTTATTAGCCTGCAAACTCTCCCAGTAATGTCAGAGTCACTCTGTGTTCTCTCTGACTCATACATACTATTAGTAATAAACAAACTTCTCGAAAAGTTTCCATTCTTTAGCAACTACATTACCCACAAATTCAATTCCAAACTGGAGGCTGCCCATACTCTATGATTGCTGTAAGCACTGCAGGCAGTGCAGAGCCTTCAGAAAGTGAAGCTGCACATGTGTGTCACAATTTTCATTGTGCAAGGGATGCTGACCGCAGAAGTTTAACAACAATCTGCACATGGCACCATTCTTAGGAATAAACCCAGCATAATTCTGGTACATTCTTCCTGTCTTTTCTGAAGGATAAGGAGTTTGGGCAAAGAGCAGATATGCTGAGCAAAAAGCTATCTTTTCTAGTTATATTTTCACACTGGACAAACAATTAATATAAAACAAAAGTCACAGAACTTGACAAGTCTTTCTCTTAAATACATTCAAGGTATACATTAATTTATATATAAAACATATCTGATACTGAAACAACAGAAGGATAAGGATTTTCAGGATCTCAACTGTGACTCATTTCCATTTTGCTTAAATGAAATTTCAAACATCTAATGTGTTTCTTTTTTTCATAAATCTGGACCTTTATGCCCTGAAGTTCCATGTCACTCCTCAGATGACTAAGTCTGAGGAGTCTGAATAAGTCTTATTAATAATCTCCATCAATGTAAGAAGCTGACTTCAATACTATCAGTTATAAATACCATCTGAGTAATGAATATCTGATTCAACACATATGCCGAAAAAAACTCAGTTCTCACAAAACCATTTTCTGTTGGTGTGTGTGTTAACACAGTCCAGTTTAAGAGTTCCATAGGATTGGACATACAAAAAAGGTGAGATAGAGGCTTCATGTCTTTCATGTTACCTCAATTTCTTGAAAAAAATGTCTGAAATCCCACTTGATGTATCAGCCCAGGAAAGATCCAAAGCTATCATTCTGCCCTATGACCTTAGTCATGTGATAAGGCTATTCTCTGGTGCTTTTTTATTTCCTCCTGCAAACACTGATGTCTTCTAGATCAGACAGCATCTGAGACAGATGAGGGGAAAAATGGGGAGGGGGACACTCTCTGGTCTAGTAATTAGAACAGTATTCAAAGGATGTGTCAGCTGTGTTCTGGACCCTGCTTCAGTGAATGATTCATTAATTATACAAAGTGGAACGGCACCAGGAGGACAAATTAAGCACTGTGCCTCTCCTTTCATTTTATGGCAGCCAGGGAAATCTCTTGAGAGTGGAAAGCATGGGTAAAAATCCACTCAAGCAAGGCAAGGGATTAAGCCTGATAATCCAACATACTTCTGTAACTGCTTTAACCACAGGCTGCTGGCTAAAAGTAAGATCACGACTTCATTTTGCTGACCAAGAATTTTATCACCCATCTCCAAAATTAATTAGTAAGTCTGTGTCTAGCTCACAAGTGGTTTAACACTATCAAAATCACACTTAAAAGAAAACATAATATTCTTCCTGCCTCTCTCTCCAGATCTCAGCAGACCCTGTTTAATACCTGCCTGCAGAGACTTCATGTTTGACACTGGCTGTTTCATGTTATCTGCCTGGTCCAATGTCCATTGCTTCTAAAATCTAAGGGAAAAGAAGCATTATCTCAATCTGACTTGTGTAAACACCTGCAGATTCAAGACATGCTTATGTAAGTAGTTTCAACAACTGGCACTATCCAGATACTTAAAATTAGTCACAGCACTTGCAAAAAAGATAATGAATAGCTTCATTTGATGCTATAAAATCCTTGGTTAATTACTGATTAAAATAGGTTTATTTTTTCCTGGCAAAAGAGAAAAGAAGCAAGAAATTGAAGCCAAGATAAAACTTTTGCCAAGAGAATCTCAAGGCATACTATATGAATTGCAGGTACAGCTGTTTGCAGGAAAGATGTATCTACAAAATCTGAGAACAGGGTCAAAGATAGAAATGAATCCAGGGGCTTCTGGAAATTAGATGTCATATATTTATGTTGTATATAGGATGTCTGATATTTGCATACCAGACAAGCATTTAAAAAAATAGAAGACGGATTTTTTTTTTTAATACTAATGGATCTGTCTTATGTTACTGTGTTGTGACAGTATTTTTTATACTCTTTGTAACTTATATTTCTCCAGAAGTTACATCCCATAGTTTATACACCAGTGTTGAACAGTATCTTGCAATGCATATATCAGGCTGTTTAGCTGCATTGAAGTAAGGTCTCTCATGCTCATAATATATTTCCAAGAATTCAAGGTGAAAGGGCATTATTTCCATTAGTGCATTTTGCTATTAGTCTTGTGATTTTTTATGAGTTTGAAAAATTAGTTATCTTCCTATCTGATTAAATTTGAGTAAATAGAAGAAGTTTTAAAACAATGTCAATTTTTTAGGGAAAGTTTTAAAACCATGTTAATTTTAACCTTGTGTGGTTTGTTTCCACAAAACCCAATGAAGGAAGTAAAATTATTTTACAATAATTTATAAAAATAGCCAAATCCATCAAGGTACCTTCCTATTATTCATAAATATTTTAAATATTTAGTACTTTTAAAAACTGTAATTAGTTGGTTCACTCAGATCTTCATATGAGATAACCTATTAACATATAGTTCATTTCCTCAGAAACTCTTTTCAAAGTTTGTAGTAGTCTTCCCTTCCTTTATGCTTTCAGTCAAGCTGAACCCAGCAAGCGTTTTTGTTGACAGCTTCCTCTCTTGCTTAGCAGCACTATTGATGCTTTCAACAGAGCTGCCAACCCAGCCCTGGGAACAGCAGGCCTTGGTTAATTAGTGCACTGGAGCACAAACATTTTTTCCATCACATGGTACATAACCCAACACTGTGGAGGAGTAAAATGGTACCTACAGAAGTCAAAAGTTTAGCACATTCCTTATAATTTGAAAATAAGATGAGACACTCAGGGCCTGCTCTTCTAAACAATGTGTAACTAGGAATGTCCTACACTGTGCATGTATACTCATTTTTTCTCCCACATGCATCAAATTCTTCAAGCCAAATAGCTGACAGAGCTCTTCCTACAGTTATACAGGGGGTGGTGCTGAGGTCCTGGCATGAGATACACAAATAAGACTGAAAGCAATGTCAACATATTTCTGGTGATGAGTATTATATGACACTGCAAAGACTCTCTATTTCAGTATCACTGCTCTAGTCCTCTCCCTAGCAGCTTAATACCACTGTTTATTTTTCACAGCACTACCTCTCACAATGTCTGCTTGAAGTGGAAATCACATGCCAGAAATCCACTCAAGCTCTGACTTTGACATCAGTATTTTACATTCCACATATTCTTCCTTTCCTCAATTTGTCAGAGGACACAAGGGCCTTACCAAATTCATCAAGGTACCTCACCAGTCAACTGAATTGCCATCCCTTCAGTATTAAAACTGTTTACCTTACTCTTGTGTTTCCTTTCAGGTTTTTCTTTTCTTCATTTTCCTGTATATTAATCCTCTGAAAATGCTCCAATGATTAGTGTCACAAAGCCTCAATGGACAGGTAAGTGAACAAAACTTCTGACCAACTTCAGTGCTCCCTAAGTTCTTACCAGTGAAGTCTCTTCTGTTCTGTGCATGGGCAAAATTACCTCAGCTATTATTTCACTAGACCAAACTCCTACTGAACTACTAAAATATTAATTCTTCTACTTTCTGCCAACAATTCTGAGTTTTTGTTTTTCCTGTTTCTCTCCTGTACTCTTTACAGGACTTTATGAAAAGGAAATGTATATCAATGTCTAGGAGAAAGGAAGCTGGAACTGACTACAGTGTATCAGGAACAATACACCTATATTATATAAAGATTGTGATTTCCCTTTCCTAAGATACTTTTGTGAATGGAAGTCAAACACGCGCTGACCTTTTTTGCTATTACATCACTCAGAAAACACATCTGCTGGGCTGTCTGCAATCATCACAAAGGGGTTTTGTTATGTTTTTTAAACAAAGACAATATGACACACTTTTCCCTTAACCTCTTCTAAGCATGTTTTGCATGGAAATATTAACTCAGCTCGAGGCAAACTCTAAAGGCAGAATTTTTCAGACTGATAACTGTGCAAAAGAGAAATTTTGCAATCTGCACCACTCCCCTTCCTATATACAGCAGCATTTAATTTACTAGCTGTCTCACAGTTCCCAAAACAAGTCTTCACACACACACAAAATTAAGGATTAGTGAGGATAATTATCAGGGGGACTGTTTTTACAATTAACATATTAGCTGACCTGCATCCTAGTGTTCTGTGATATTTTCACAAATCACCATGTTAGCTCACATTCAAGAGCCAAGTAGATTTTGTGGTATCAGCACCTCAAGACTTTGCCTTCAGTTTGTGTTCAAATACATTAAATTATGTATTTTTAAGTGCTTAACAATACATAAAATACTAAAAAGTACTTAAGTACTTTTTACCTCATATGTGAAAGTAAATGGATACAGAGTTGTCTCACTAAAATATGACTACCCTGCAGAAAGGAAATTGTGCACCTCCTACTTTCCCACTAACATGGCATTTGCTCCTTGGTTTACTGTACAGACTTCTCAGTTTCAAGACAAGATTTTCTGCAGCCACAGCACTCCGGATGCTGTTGATCTGACATAGTTCTCTGGTGAAGAAAGTCAGAAGAAAGCACTTGCTCTTTGTAAACAAACATCATGGATATATATCTACACTGACCTCTCCGAGGACAACTGGAGAAATTAGAGCTATTTGGGTAAGTGACACAAATGACACAAATCATGGGTCTTTGACTACACAGAGTAAGGCATCAAGCTTCAGTGACTGAACTGATCTATACAGTTGCTGCCCAGGGAGGAAGAAAAAAGGACCTCAACTCTGTCACAGACTGTGAGATAGATTTTCATCCTAGAAGAAAGGTTATCCTGTCTCATTCATGGAATCCTCTAATAGCCATTTCTTTCCTGTGCATCTCACAGCATTTGTCCTCCTCAGGCTTCAAATCAAGATGCAATGCAGTGATATATTTCACATTCGCTTTTAAATCTTTACTTGATCTCCTTTATGATGGCAGACCAAAACCCAAGCCGAAGTGGCTGAAAAGTAACCTCCTCTGCAGAACAGAAGGCAGCCCTGATGAAATGCACAAAGCTCCTCAGAGGTTGCATTCCCCCTCCCTCCCATTTCACTGCTTGGATTCCTTTGTTTGGTAAATAGGTCAGTGCTCATAAAAACACCCCTCCAGGGCTGACTGCCTCACATAACCACAGCAGCCAACATAAGGAAAATGGATGCTAACATGGCAGCAGCTGAATCACACAATTCCATGGGGCATGGAGGACTGAAATAAGCCACACTGACCAAGCAGTAAGGAGAGGGACTATAAGATTAACTGTCAAGAGTCAGAAAAATATCATTATTTTCCATCTCAAAGTTCCAGTGATCATGACTCTGACAGGCTCTATGAACATCTCACTGCCCAAAACAGTGTCTTCAGAAGAAGACAAACAGGGGATCCTGGTCAATGCAACAGCCTCCATCTCATAACCAGACTGTAATGCAGTCTGGTTAAGAGCTCTGCCCCACCTTTAACATTCTCTGCAGATATGCAACCCATGAATCCTCTCTTAGCTATACTGCCAAGGATATCAGTTGTGTTTTTGAAGTGGTCTTTTCTGGAAGAAGTTGAGTGATAGTAATTGCAGTCTTAAAACAGCTTAAATACACCAACACCTTTCAGAGAAGATGACAGATTCACTTTAATACCCCTCCCAGCTATGTAGAGAAACTGAAATACCAAAAATATAATGAATTTAGGCTCAGGACCTCATTCCTGTACCTCAAAAGTAAAGTAAAAAAATGCTATTCAGTGGTAAAAAAAATTTTTTAAAAGGAACTGAAATTTAATGCCTGGCTTTGGATCAGAGACAACAGCTCAACAGGAAACCTACTGGGTTGAAGACAACAACTGGACAAAGGAAGTTTCTTTCCCAGCACTTTTTCCTAGATCCTTTGTTGCTTGGGTGTGGAAGGGGCTAACAGCGGGCCTGTTAGCTAAAGGAGCAAGAAGAAGCTGAGAAGAAAGAAGAAGCTGATAAGGACCTCTCTCCAAGGCTGTAACCAAGGAGACCAAGAGAATTGAGGGACTGAAGAAAGATAAGAACTTCACAGCTGCACGAAGTAAATTTAGAAAGTTAGTTAAGTCACTGTAACTTTTCACCAATGGTGTTATGTTGATTTATTGTATCCAATAGTTAGGGTAGAAGAAGCATAAACAATTAAAAAGTGTATAAAAGGTCAGCCATGTTCGATAATAAACTGTTGCCATCTGAAACTGCTTGTGGTCCCTGCTTTGTGTCGTGACCGCCTCGACAACGACACTTGGGGAAAAAAAAAAAAAGGCATCCTGTACCTTTCCCAAACAAAATCTTCATATGATCTAATAGTTGACACATAATTTGTCCCAAGATTATAGATACTGATTTGGTTCCTCAGTTAGAGACTGGTAGGATTTAGTAGCCAAGGTACAGTGCCACACAAATGCAGCTGAACTGTTCACAGGGCCCACCTCACTGGAGAAGCATGGCAACCACCATTACTGCAGCTCACACAAACAAGGCAGGGCTCTGCTGGCTCTGTGCTTTGCAAGGTTAGGAGTCTCTGCGCTAACATTTCACTTAAAACATTAAGGTTTCAAACCTTGAGCAAAGCCTCACTGACTTTGAACTGAATCACTATATATATGCAATACTGCAGGGAAGTTAGTGAGATGTACTGGAAGCACCTGAACCAGCTCTGGAAAAGACAGCTGTGGTTCAGGAAAACTGCTTGGGATTCTCCTTTATTCAAATTATTTTAGCCAATTATTTAGCTAGATACAAAACAACCAACTGTGATGCTAATAGAAAAAGGAGGCCTACCATAAAATACATGGACTGCACATATAGGAAAGACTTATCCCATCTGTACAGTAAAAATGGAGTTATCATTTTAAATGAGATATACAGAAATCTCTACCAATAGCGGATTTCTGCATTTCATAAACTCCAGTACTTGGTAGTTGAGAGAAACAAGCACTGTGCTATGTAAAATACTGCTGTTAGCACACAAATTTCTGGACTCTTGCAACACTGAAGACTTCAGGATTTGAGCTAAGGGGGAAAATCAATTGTCATATACATGTATGGTAAAAGTGGGAAGAGTATCAAAGTTCCTACTATCATTCAAAAAGAGACAAGTCTCTTCAGACATACCGGAAAGAGCAGTAATCCTAGTTCAGCAGTTTTGCAAAGAATTTTCAGAAAATACATTAGTGGAAAATTACTTCTGCCAAAATACACTGACATGTCAGTTCCTCAGGATGCCATCAAATCATATCACTACGCAGCATTACCTTCTGCTTTTGTGTAGATTGAGACGTTTCCATTTACCAAGCCAGCAAACAAGTACTGAGACCTGTATGTTAAGCTCATAACAGTTGATTTTTCAGGAGTGAAGAAGTGTTGAAGTCGAATTTTCTTTGAGCCTTGGCAACTTTTGTAAATAGAAATGCTATAGAAAGAAGCAAGAAGAAACAGACCTGTGAAATTATGCTTTACATATTTCTTGCTAGAATATGCAAAAGAGAAGTTTAAAATAAAATATTGGGGAAAAGAGGATTTTCTCCTTCAATTCTTGACACCCCAGAATGTCTGTGTAGACAACTTGTAATTACTTAACGTTGACATATGACAACACATTCATATTATCTTGTCTGCAGAAACAGTTATTCAAAAAAGAGACATAATAAAAATTCTGCTCAAAGTCCTTATTATGAGTCTATCTAAAACTTTAATTAGTTTAAAAATATATATTATGTGGAAAACTAGGGAGAAGAAAAGAAAAACTCACTACCAGACATCACTTACACTTAAAACTTCCACAATTCCTATTGATTGTTACACTGGGTATGGTAAGAATATTGTTAAATCTGGAATTAAATCACTGATTTCTAGAAATGGCATTTTCCTTGGAAAATTTTGTTCTCCTTCATTTATACTGGTTACAAACACCTTCAAAAATCACATGTGGTTAAACACTTACAGCCTCACTAACAAGATCTGTTTGTTAACTGACCGATAAATTTAGAACATTTAGCTTTGTTCTACAACACTTCAAATCAAGGGATGGCTCAGTAGGCCATCAGTTCAAAGACAGCAAAGTAATTCCTGTCAATAGTAAACAGCAATTTTTTTTTCATGTGACAAATCCTTCATAATATGACAGGGCAGAAGATTAATGGACTCCTCTTTGCCATTCTGAAAATTCTCCAATACCTGAAGATTACCTTGTAATGTAACAAAAGTAGTATTTATATTTTTCAGATATGATGAACTAATCCTCTTTCATCAAAAAGATGCCCTGTTTTAATTTCAAATACCACATGGTGTAATTTTAAATAATGTAGAGTCCATTTTATCCTTTATTTGAATAGAAAGGATACCATGAGGTTACTGGATAACACTTGGATACTTTACAAAAAAGTAACATTTTCTCACACAATTTTGCTATAGAATAGCAAACTTAATCAATAAATCATACACATGACACCAAAACCAAGAATCACCTTCCTTCTTCCATGCCAAGGCAAATAGTAGGCACATTAGAAGTTTTTGCAAGAACATTTTCAGAGTCTGGAGCTTTGTTTTGCTCTTTCAGCTTCTCCTCCTCTGGTATGTAGACCATGCAGAGAATCCGTGATTCCACATTGAAGCACTCAATAACCTTGGGGCTGGAGCTTTGAAACGAGACTATTGCAACCTGGCCCATCTGATTTGTACAACTGCCAATCTGAAATGAAAAAAAGAAAATTAAAAAAAAGCACAACAGACCATGACTGATACCTGTCTCCAGGAAGATCAACAAGTACAGGAAGGAATGACTGGAATGTTAACTGAAGAGTGCATCTCAAGTCATATGTGCCAATATATATTTTCATGCATAAGAGAGTAATTTTCAGACATAAGAGAATAATTCAGCACAAATACAAGATATATCAAAATGTTATACATACAAACTTGCCTTCTACACTCACAGGAAGATCAACAAGTACAAGAAGGAATGACTGGAATGTTAACTGAAGAGTGCATCTCAAGTTATATGTGCCAATATATATTTTCATGCATAAGAGAGTAATTTTCACAAAAAAATGTTTTTAAAGCAGGAATAATATTATGGCTTATTCTGATATCTGACTCAAATGTGTATACATTTGTATAATGCAATTACTGTATCTGTGCAACATGCTACTTTAATAACTGGTGTTCTAATTGTCTCAAGTTCTTTAAAACCAGGTAATATGGCTGAGGCCTGTCCTTTGCACAGTAACAGGTCTACAAAGAAATGCTTCATCCCAGAAGAAAGAGTCTTGTAAACTTGCTGATACAGAAACCTAAATTTCTCCCTGATCCAGAACTAAGAATCATGAACACGTCCATAAACTTGCACATTTCAGTGATCAGGGAGAAGTAAAAAAATCTACCCAAGCACAGTACACGTTTTTGTATAGCAGCTCTTTCTGTTATACAAAATAAAATAGTAAAGAAAAAGAAATAATATTTTGTAGCAGCAGAAAGATTTAATTAGCATGTTTTTGCAACTACTGTTTACAAATGGCAAAGACAAAAGGAAATTATATGGGGTGCCTTGAAAAAGACCACTAAGAAAAGCTATTTCTAACTTTTAATTTGCAAGGGTTCCCTTAAAATGTTAGTACTGTAGTAACTAGAAAAGCTTCTGAAATCATTAGCTTGAATATCAGCATATCTGGGGTCATAGCAATATGAAGAATAAGCTATTTTCCTATACAGATTCAAACAGATTATTTTTGGCTAAAACATTCCTGAAACATGAAAACAGAGAGGACAGTGGAAGCTCATATGGGTTTCAGTAGCAATTGTTACAAATTAGCACATAACTCCCTTCTGAATGTGCTCAGCACTTTGGAATTCGTTCTGTGCTGCACAAACCACACACACTTACTGACACCCTACAGAGACCAGCAAGATCACATGACAAATTAGTAGCTAATCCTTTATCTTTAAACAAATAAACAAAGAGAAAAAACCAACCCAGGATTTATTTCATACCTACATATTGTCAAGAGTCACAAAAAGCAATGGAAAGAAACAGGAGACAACCACTTTCAGATTTTAGTTTGGGTAAAGTGTAAAAGTGACACTTACCCAAAGAAAACCATGTTCCACAGCACAGGAATCTGACTCTGTTTCTCCAGCAAGGTATGGCTCAGGATTATAAGCAGCACATTCAACCTTCAAGAAGAGGAAAAGGGAGCTGTTAGCACATAAAAAAAAAAAAAAGCCTGTTTCTGTCTATTTTAGTTTGTAATTAACCGAAGCATTTAAGGATATCAAAGAGTCTCCTAAGGCAAGGAGTCAGTTTAGTTCACCCAGCTCCCCTGGACAGGGTCAGCTGCACAGATATTGCTCCTGACACATTCCTCATCTACCCCTGCAGACCTTCATGGCCAAAGACTACGAATTCTCTTTTGCTGATCTACTCAAATGCTTCATGACTTTTATTAAGCTTTTTCATCTCCCCAACCTGACCCCATCCCTGATGTAATCATTGGCTTGTTACCTCTCATCTCAAACACCAGGCACTTACTTCTCTTTCTCTGTAGTTTCCTTTTGCATAAAAGGTATGATCCTGCCTGAGACACCTCTTCACTAGGCTACATTAACATCATTTAATTACTTATACTTTTTTTAAGAATGATTTCTTTCAGATTTTTGTTTTTGAACTTATTATTGCCGCTTTTTCAACTGACATTTCTCCAGCAGATGTATCAGCCTCACGTGTATATTTGAGAGCACAGAGTTTTCTCACCCAAACACACTGTTCTAGCAGAGCTGGTAGCAGCACTACACCATGGTTGTATCTTCAGAAGCCTGTTTCTATACATCTCATATTCATTACTACTCTTTGTAACAATGTCACATTCCTAACCAATCCTTACCGTTCTGGTCTATTAAAAATTACTTTAACAGACCAACTAAACCACCTCTTCAACCTGGATTTAGGAAACTCCTAATTTCTCAGTGAGCATACCATGTGTCTGTCCTGCTGACTGTCATCCTTTTCATCTTTCTTCCCCCTTCCCAAACGATTTCTCCAGGTGCCTTGGTCATTTTGAATGCTAATAATATCATTCTTAAGACTTCAACTCCCTTCCAATCTCATGTCATCATGTTACTGTCAGTACATTAAAAACAATACTCTTGATTTTATCATGCAGGCCATTTTAAAAAAATGAAAGCAACACCAGACTCAAGGTCTATATTTAAAATCCATCCCAACTCTGAAGATGAATCAAGCATCAAGAATCTGAAAAAAAACATTTTTATGACCAGTCATGGTTTTCTAATTTCCCTAATATCCACAGCAGTTTCCTAAAGCTTATGCAAACACTTCAAAATATATAAAAGCAGTTCATAACTGTGTAGAGAATAAAAAAGTTTCTAATGAGGTGTGATACTACATTTTTAAACAAGATTCTCTAGAATTCAAACCAATGTTCTCATCTTGGACATCAATGTCCTAGTGATTATATTGTAGTACTAGCAAAACCTCAGTTAGTGTTAACTTAGACTACTCAGTTAGTATTAACTCCCCACAGCCTAGCAACATCACCTCCCAACAGTGAACAATTAAATAAACCAAAAACAAAACAAACAAAAAATCAAAACAAATTCAAAACAAAACAAAAAAACCCCAAACAACAACAAAAAAACCCACCAAATAAACCCCAAACAAACAACAAAACCAAAAAAACAACTCCAAAACAAGCTGGCAAAAGTTAAGAGTTCTAAATTCCAAGTTTATTTAATTTTCCCAAGTGCAAAGAATTTCACAGGCTCCTTGAAGTCAGCAGGCATTACGAAGTGATTTGCCTTAGTAGAAAAAATATTATTTATTCAGCAAAGCAATTCGCTATATACAGATAAAAATTTGAAATCAATAGATGAAAAAAGAAGAAGAAAAAGAGCTTCCATGCCTGTCTTAGCATGTCTCATTTAACACATGCTGAAGCTATCTACTTGAAGTGATTTACAGTCGCTGTGACAATTAAATATATCACTAGTCAAAAATAAGACAGTCTGCATGTTGGATATTTCCCAGGCTCCTCGTTACACCTTGTGTCACTTTGCATCTTAGTCAAAGTGATGCTTTTTCCACAGTTAAACCCTGGTAGTTTAGCTCCAAGTCTTGACACAAGCCAGAGATGTAACCCTGCTCTGGTGTCTCCCTCCACCACTGGGCAGCCTGAGCAGCATACAGAGCCAACAAACAGGATAAGCCAAGCAGAGTTTCTCTTCCCACCCTGAGCTGGGACTGGAGAGCCAAATTGCAGCTGAGACTTCAGCAATACTTAAGTCATATTTTCTAGTAATATCAAGGATTTGGGAGAACCAGGAATGACCCCTGGGCTCACACCCACATTGCTTTAAGGAGCTACAAAACTGGCCAAGTTAGCCCAGGGCTGAGGCAAATGTTGTCACACACTCTGCTCTCCTGAGGTGACCAAGGCAAAGATCTCAGCCAACTGCAAAGGTGACAAACTTCCCTTTCCTTTCAAAATAAGAAGACTCTGTTCTAACTTGATTACAAGAGTTGAGCCTGGGCCTTCACAGATCCTGGCACTCATTTTCAGGACTTACAAATGCCTGGGCTCTAAGGAAATACATACATGATTTAAGTTTCTGAAAAAAAAATTAAAATAGCTGGTTATTTCACCAGTGGTGACTTTAGAAAGTAAACCTCAGAAAAAGCTGTTTAAATAGGACAAGCATGAGTGGTTGTATGGGAAATCAGAGAGTTTCAGTAAACAAAGTAAACCTCAGAAAAAGCTGTTTAAATAGGACAAGCATGACTGGTATGGGAAATCAGAGTTTCAGTAAACTTTGACTGCTCTGAAAACCAGTATCATAGGAATAGATTGTCTTAGCACCATTACACATTTCTACTGCATTTTGAACCACCAATTATTTTCCCCCAACATCCACTTTGTACACTCACATTTGAAGTGAAGCTGTCAGCTGAGCTTCCCTCCTGTGCAGGCTGCTCTAGCAGTGAGGGTCTTCAGACTCACCTTTTTAAGCAGCACCCATGCAATGCATTAACTTAACTTTGGGATTCTATCCACACATACACAATTTAGTTTCCATTACTCTTTTTGCATAAGACTTACTGACTGCTGGCCAATAAGAAATCCTACTGGTACACTGAAAAAAACAGCATCCAGCACTCTTCCCTTTCATCTGTTGAAATATGAAAATAAGTACAATACCTGGTTTGGTATTGTACTTATTTTCATCATCAAAGTCAGTAGTTAATAAGGCTTCAAATGGACACATTGCTTTAGTAAATGAACCATTAAGACAATGTCTATATAATTGTTCAGAATATGACATTTTACATAAGATTCCACATAACATAATTTTTTAAAAAAATATTTTAAAAATATTATTCTCTGTGCACTGATAAAAATCAGAAATTTGAGGAGGATTTAGCATAGTTACACCAGGAAAGGACAGCTTTCATGGAGATCAGATTCCTGCTCTTGTAAGCTTTAGGTTACTTCTAAGCCCCAAACACACACTTGGAAATCTCAAGATGAACTAAGAATTCCCAAAAGTTCTGTTTACACCGAGTGATTAATTTACATATGAAAGTGAATGTCATACTATGTAAAAATAAACATTATGCTCATTAGGGCCTCAAAGATTGCAGCATTTTTCATTTCTGTGACTCTTCTGGACCTTTAATTGCTAATGGTCTTAAACCAAAGTAGTCACAATAGATGTGAACTAATAGATGTATTTACAATATGGTATTCTTTAGAAAATTATATCACACAAGAAAACCTAATTGTAATCTCATATAAAAATTCCATTCACCTTGAACTCCTGTTGCTTGGCCACCATCACTGGCATGTGTCTAACAAGAAGAGGATGTTTTTCTTTTTTGATTTGATTCCCATCATCTTCTATGCAGAACCAACCTAAGAGGTTATCCTCTGCTGTAATGGAAAGAGCAAACAATAAACACTCCACAATTCTCTCACTGAATAATCACTTCCATCTTTCCACAGGAACAGAAAAGAATTCTGTCAGGATGAGTCAATACATATCAGGCTGTTCTTTTTCCATAGATGCATACATGACAATATAAAACTATGAGCAAAAATTCAATTGAGTAGATTACATACATACTGATAATGCAAAAAAGAACATCTTATATTAGCAAAATGTTAAGGGGAGTCTCTTAATGATCTTGTAAATTGAATATTGAAAGAGGAAAAGACATATCAAACCTCTCCTTAAGACTCTAGGAAATCTGTTTGTTAAACAGCATTTCTCTGCCTGTTTAAGAAACATCACTACCAACTGCCAGTTATCATAATCAAAAGGATCCTGCTGCTGGAATGATGGAAACACCCATTCTCTCTTCTTTTTTGTTACTTTGCTTGTCTTCTGTGAGACATCACAAAAGCACTCTACTTTGACCATGTGCTGGTGAAAGTTAATGTTTCTCAACTTAGGCATTGAAAAGTCCAAGTATCTTTGGAAACCTATCCCCTTGTGCAAACACAGGAAAAAAAATAACATCACAAGACAGCATATTTTTTTATTGCTCTGACTTAGAGACTATTTGTGTTGATTTAGATGCAACAATTAGTAATGAATACCAGACTTCATTAAAATACTGTTGAAAATATATTCTTTCATAATAAGTGCCTGTTTTATCTACAATGCTATTACTTTGTAGTGATACACAATCACTACTATTTACTGTATTGCAGTTTTAAACATCTACAGACAATTTTCACTGAAAAAGGAAAATCATTATCCAAAAAAGAAAAATAAATATATTACACTGTACATTGAGGGCTATTTTAACTTTTTAGGAAACTTGATTAACTAGGAATTACCAAGGGCCAGTTTAGCCATTTGTAAATTGTTGATCCAAGACTGTTTGATGGCAGGGGTAAATGTATTGAACACAGCTGTAAAGAAAGTTGGCCGCCCAGACCTGTAGTACAGGAAAAAAAAAAAACAAAAAAACAACACTATAAATGTGATGGTTATGAATACAGCCATGGCTAAAAATGTTGAGCAAGATGAAATTTCATTATTTTCTAATACTCAGACAAAGACTCAGCTCTGATTTCAGTGTGCAGGCTATGATACACGATATGTCCATCTTCCTATACTTTACACAAAATGATTTGAGAGGAACTGGAGCAGGAACACAACAGTGACTGTTCCCTATTAGCTGCCACTGCCAGGGTTCCTCTCTTGCTTCTTACATCCAGAATCCTGGGCTGAGGAACAGGAGAAAAGCTACAGCACTGCTCTGGAACATTAAATCTGGGCTGAGGAACAGGAGAAAAGCTACAGAGCTGCTCTGGAACATTAAAGCTGGGCTGAGGAACAGGAGAAAAGCTACAGAGCTGCTCTGGAACATTAAAGCTGGGCTGAGGAACAGGAGAAAAGCTACAGCACTGCTCTGGAACACATTAAAGCTGCCGGCATTATGGCATAAGAGCAAAAACTCAGGGGCTTACTTATGGAAACAGAAGGGAGGGAAGAGCTACAGATTCCCAAATCCTCACTAGTACATATACCTATACACTAGTATCTATACCTAATACACAAACCAATTTACAAAGTTTTGTAATCAAGATTTCTACTGACTTGTCCTGCTTTCCTGGGAGTTGCAGCTGAATTCTACAGCGATCTGCTGCTCTGATTTCATCTTCTTTTTTCAAAATCAGTTTTTGTAAACCTGAGGTCCAGTCATGGGCTACAGATTGGTTTAAATTCTGAAAAATGAAAAAAACTAAGATTCAACACCAGCCTATCTGCCTGTTGCAAACAGTATAATAAGGTGATTCCTGCATATAACAAACAATGAAACATGGGCTTCAATTAGACTACATTTCCATCATGGATAATTTAGCCATACTTGTAAACACAGTTTGAGCCAAAACGTTTACAGAGGCATCATGAAAAATGTGTTGTCTAAATCTGTTTAAGATGCTGAAACAATAACTGCAAGGTGAGTGTTCTGTTGCAGACACTAAAAGCCCACCTGAATGTACAAAGCACCAAGACTAACAAGTACACAGAGGTACACAAACTTTCCACCATCAGAATTCTATGACAACTTAAGTGTTTTTCAAAAATCAAGAAGCTAACCTCATTCCTCTAAATAAATTCTTTTAATGATCTTACATACATCTACCCTGAAACAATGACTGAATTTTAAGTTTGCAAAGCGTAGTTGGCTCTGACTGTCAGTGCATGCAGAAAGGTTTATTATATGGTGATGGGTGGATGTCTTATTGTATATCTGTGCTATGCATATTCCCAATTATGCAGATGAAATTCACCTTCTTATACTTGTGAAGCTTTTTCCAAAAGCACTGTTTCCATAAACTTCATCCAGAGTATATATTTTCACAAAATTCTATGTTTTATTTAATACCTTTACTCTGAAGCCAAGATATGTCAAGAGAAACTCAGCTTTTATACATTCATACATATACACACATTTGTAACCTGTGGTGGCAGGTAGGAGTTAAAAACTACATGTAACCACATATAAAACACATTAAAAAATCAAGCAAAAAAGTAATTGTTTGAAGTCTCAAGGCTTCATTTGGTGTTAAGTACTATATTTGTTTGCCAGAATGTAAGCTAAATCAAAGGGATGTGAACAAAGCTAAAGCAAAATAGTTTCGAAATTCTTCTGAAAATCCTTTTATATTTTGTGATTTATACTCAGTTTTAAGTACAGTTTCCCCCCACAAAAGCCAGGATTATGAGCTTGGATGGGGATCAAGAGCTTCCTCCAAACAACCATCCTCCTACTACCATGTCCAACTGCAAGAATCCAATTTCTTAACATCAAAATGTAATTCTGTTTCCATATAAGCTTATCAGCTACTCAACAAATGAAGACACTTGTAGTTTCCACCTACACTTAAAAACAATAAAGAAAAGGAAGATTAGAAGGACAGCTGTAATCTATTTATTACACTTAACAGTAAATGCTGTTAACTGAAGATAATACTAGAGGTAAACATTATTCCACTTTTTGCAGAGAGAACTAAAGAATGCCTTGCACAAACCCGAGGGGGAGGCCATTATACAATTTACAAGAACAGACTTGAAAAATAAATCCAGCTTTGTTTATTACCTGATAGTTTCCTTTAAGGCTGCTTATTAATTGGCTAATTTGACCAAGTACATTCAAGTCATGTAAAAGGTTCTGCAGATCATGGTACAGTTGCCCTGGTCCCATATAGAGCTTGTCTGAAATGAATAAAACCATAACGTTATACATAACAAAATACGCAATTTTCAGTTGAACAGGGAAAGTATCACAAGTACAATATAAACTTATATCTTAAAATCAGAGTGGTTTATTTCTTTGCACGTACAGGCATTTACTTTTGCATTTACTTTTGCATTTACATTTACTTTTACAACATCTTATTGCCTTTATAGCTACAAACAAGATTCAAGTTGCTCATCTTGTATGATGGAGAGCACTATCTACAGTTTTAATATCCCACACTAGAATTGTAACAAATATCAAAGCTTCGCTGGCCCCAAAAATCTCTTGCTGCCATGGAAGTTTTGTTTAGCACCAAACATCAGACTTGCTGTAACACATTAATGCAAACATCTTTCCTGGAGGTTGTTTTTGGTTACATGACAAGCAAAAACACTTTTCTGTAGCTTTTTCTGCGATGGTTTAAAATTCAAAATTTGCTTTATTGATTGTGAGACAGTTCTGGGTCATATATCTATATCCTAACTCTAACACAAGCTTGCAATTTCACTGAACCACTTGAAATTTTACTGCAATCATGCTTAAGTCAAAAAAGAACTGTCCAAAAATCAGCAGCAAATCTGAACAGGAGCAGAAATCTTTTATGCTAACAATTAAAAAGTACAAGGGCTTATAAGGGAACAGTAACTCTGAAAAACACATTGATTACTAGGATAAGGTTTCCATTTAAATGCACAAAGCTTGCAAACCCCTGCTAATATACTCTGACTACTATGATGCTAGGAGTGGAATGGTTATGTAATTCCTTTGGAAACAACACTCACTGTCCCATTAAAAAATCCACCCTGACTCACACAGAGTCAGCATGTTTCCCTTCAGCTGAATGACAGGAACAGGACTGGATTATCTTGCCAGGAAACTCCTGCAGATTCTTTAGCCCACAGAGTGTAGTATCCAAACTATGGATCCTTCAACATTAGCACAGCTTTGGATGCCAGTCTGTGGGCAGCAAGCACTCCTGGATCAGAAGGGTTTCACTGGTGTAGTGGCAAGAGCAGGATCTGTTCAGAACAGTGCTGGCTGCTGGCTCTGCAGACAGCTGAGGAGCAGGGGCACGAGCTGTGCCACCTGCTCTGGCTGCAGGGCAGAGCGCTGGGCACAGCCCCGGTGCCACACTCACACTGCTGGCACCTCCACTCCCCCAGCCTGCTGCAGGGCCAGGGGACAAAACACAGACCAAACACAAAGCCTTCCAAATAGCCTAAGTCCGAGTAAATATTAAAAATAAACACGCATGAAACAATTCCACTTAAATCATTAGTATATTTTTAGTTAGGTATCAAAATAACTATCTTCTAAAGACATTTTCCTGTTTGCAGGCATCATACAGATGGAGGCCACCACAACGTTTTTATTTAATGTAATTCATTATGTAATGTAATTAATATACAATGTAATTACATTATATATAATATAATTCATATGGAAGTCTGCCTTAAACCCTGAAAAGCATAAAAATTCAAGTCTCAAAGAAAATATTAATGGCTACTTTATTTAGTTCTCCATTTCACTGCAGGAAAGTGCAACATAAACCTGAAATATTACACATTCCCATAAAATTCCAAATTTTTATCTGGCCCTTAAATCTTCTGGTAAATTGGATCAATAAAATTATTTCTGTGCATTGCACTTGAGCACCAGACAGGGAATGACTGCCCTTTACTACTGTTTACCACCCAGATAATAGATGTGATTATCATCCCCTTCTTTTCCTGCTCTGAATACTAATTAAAAGAACAATCTACCCTTTCTTACCCTCAAAAACAAATTAGTCCATAAGAAAAGATAATTACATTTATTGTACACCATGAAAAGAAACAACTCCAAAGTAGATCTAAGAAAAAGAATTTTGAAATTATGGTCAGTTGAGTATGTTTGCAGTTCTGCTTAAAAAAAAATTAAACACTTTTCTTGAACTGCAGATTCCATACTTTCATTAAGCTGCATTTTCACATTCTTCAACCCAAATACTTGAAAAATCACTCTTCTCTCTTTGTATCTAACTTCTGACAGCTTACACCTTTTTCCTTGCTAATATCCACAACAACTGTAATTTGTTAAGTACCAGAACCACTAGTTCCTAGATGCATCAAATTTTGATTTTTATGGGGCTACTTGCAAAGAAAGGTGCAGATCAGTATTAACAGGAAATCTGTTGAAATCTAGCTAAAAGCCACGACAGTGTGTCTGGCGCTGTAAACAACACAAATGATATCATTCTTGCTCCAAATTTCTCTAAAAAAAAGATAACTTCTGCAAAAAAAAATTATACTGAACAGAAATAATTGTTTGATTAGCTGAATTTTTGGCAGAAGTCCAGTCACCTGGCATTTACAAACTCCACTACTAACCAAACCAAACATCTGCCATGAAAAAATTACTTCAAGTCTTTTTGAAATTTAGCTTTGTGGATTTGAACCAAGACAAAACTTAGAACAATCAGGCTGTGAAAAGCTGAGTCTGTGAGGCTTCACTTGTACAGGACAGATATTTTCACCCAAGCAAACTTCAGTATTCTTAAATTATAAAAGCCAGGGTCACAGCCAGGGTAGCTTGAAAAAGACAGTTCACAGACATTTTGTTTATTATTGTTTGGAGACATTAATGCAACATATACCAAGAAGCATCCAGGCAAGTCCTAGATGCTGCAGGACTTTATGCCAGTCTTCAACTGAGGTCATAAAGAAAGCTTTAACTGCCTACACAGATGGGCTTGCCCTGGGCAGTACATATACATCCAGCCCGATAATCTTCTTCTTGAAGCTTCATATAATCTTACAAATATCTTTGTTCCAGCCTTGGAAATAAGGCATAAATCTTGAATTCCATTCAGTAATTGTCACCTGAGTCTCTTTTGTCTGCATCATGCATATTTTATAAGATATTAATAAGTCAAGATAAAAGGATGCAATATGAATGTCAAAGCAAATAAACTAATCTGGCATCTGAAAGGCTGTCACACAGAAAAACCAAACAAAAGCAATTTTAGGCTCATTCATTAAAAGATCACATTCTTAGTACAGGAAAGGAAGCACAAAATCAAAATCGTAAATAATTAATGATAGCCTGCTTCCATCCTCTGATGTTCTAGAAAGAAGAAACAGCCAACTTAAGAAATTTTAATAGCTAAGGACTAGGTCAATAGGCATCACTAATTTCAGCCTTTCACCGAGGTCCTTAGTGGGCACAAACTGGCACAGAAAATAAGGCTTCAGAAATCAACAATGATGTAGATTCATCAGAAGCAAGTTCTCCAAAAAGTGATCACTTGGATTGTGTCTGGAAAATAGTTGCAAGTTATAGCAACTTTATCTCTGAACTGGGTCCTGTAAGGGTTACTCACAATGCCTTTTGAAATAGAACTGGCTTCTCAGTGGTTAACCAAACACTGACTACCAGCTGACCTGAGAATCGTCTGATGGAAGGATTTTCTTGAGTGGAGGAGGTGGGGGAGAACACTACTCTGTTCATCAGATGTTTCTCAGTTCACAGCCACAGACTGGCTGCTTCAGCCCACATGTTCCCTGACCATTCAATTGCTGGCTATTTTGGGGTGGGTGTTCACTCCTTCTTTTATCCATAGAGAGTGCACTGAAAAACTCTTGGCGTCACTCCAAAGCAGATACATAGTCGGTTTCTTTTGTACTGTGAAATGTTTCACAAATGATAAAGACATTTCCTTCTCTTTCCAAGCCACTCTTGTTAATTATCAATCTCTAAAACAACTTCTTTTTCCTATGGGGAAAAAACCCCTTCACGGTTTAGAGAAGGCTCTCCCCAGCTCCACACATCCTACGTGCCACAGAGTGTGCCTGGGCAGGAGAGAAGGCAGCGTGCTGTAACCAATAATACATATGTGGCTTCAAAGGCAACTTTTTTGCATTCCACCTACAGATCAAGGGTGAAATCTTGGCCACATGTAATCTAGCAAGAATCTTTTTCACCAACTCCTTTGTTGCTAAGATTTTGCCAGAGGAATTTGTGCCTCCCTGCAACAGGCAAGTTTACTGCCAACAACCAGTAATTCTTGCAAGCTACTCAATTCCTTGCTCAGCATAACAATGAAATACACTCAAGGTTAAAAAAGAAAACAAAACCACAACTTGGTTTAGAGGGAAGAAAGGAGGTTAAAGTTTAAATTGATTTTGCTGCTATGTAAAACTGGGGAGAAGATTTGCTTTTTGTAACAATTTCTTCTTAGGCCAAGATACATTTGAGTATAAGACAAAATATTATTTTACCTGCTTGTTTCCCAGTATTACTCTCAGCACCACAGCTTCAAACTCATCCATTTTGCCTGGTATGAAACAATTTTTTTTAATTGAAACAGGAGCAATTCTGATTTATACCCAGGCATTTTCAAAGCCTGCAGGAAACTCCCTGGGTGTGGTTAAAGTCAGTTTAATTTGGCTCAGACAAAAGAAGAATTAGGAAGGTTGTGAATAAATATACACATGCTAGAGAAGTGTCTGTGTGCTAGTGCCTGGACAGAGGGGAGGATTCCCACCTCTGACAGAGGGCTGCATTGCTGGGGAGCAGCCACAGCTCCCTCCTTGCACAACAGCAGCTGCTTGAATAGGTGCTGGCACAGCAGCTGCTCCCTTGGGATTGTTGTACATCCAGCTCCCCTAAATTTTCAATTTCCACTTCAAGCATATTGGTTATCATAATCCTGAACTGCTCACACCCTATCCTTCCTTTCTAAGAATTACAAAGGGACACATTTATTTTCTATGATGATTTGTTACCTGTAAACATTTTCTACAAGCTCTTGCTGTGTGTTCTGATTCTCATTTGTGAATTAATTTTATCACAGATTTATGCTACCAAAGACAGAGTAGATGCAATAACCCATAATTTGAACATCTATTTCTGGGCAAGCAAACACAATGGCTCAGCTGGTCCCATCCCATACTGAACTCCTGTTTATTCCCAATTAGAAGGATTTTCTTCAAGT